CCGCAGATTTGCTGGCGATGACGCCGTGCGCGCCGCGGAGGTGCGGGCGCCGGTGGATGACGCCGTCGAGGATGCCGCCGAGGCCGCGACCGGCGGCGAGCGGCCGAGCAAGAAGAAGCGCAAGTCGCTCGATGGCGCAGCCGCGGCGCGGACAAAGGCTGCGGCGCGGGCGATGGACACGTACGTCGAGTGGCTCGGCGATCGGTTCGAGGAGTACCAGGCGCTGCTGGCCGAGCTGGTAGTCAAGGCCAACGCATGCCTCAAGATCCCGGCACTGGACATGCTGTTCAAGCACCTCCGACGCGCGCTCAGGACGCGGCTGCCGTCTCTGTTTGCGCGCACAAGCGTGGCGCACAGCGTCGTCCCGCGGGACCTCCTCGCCCGGGTCATCAACGCCATCATTGGCGCGGTTGGCGCTCCGCCGGTCCTCGCCGATGCTGACGTCGACGCCTTTGCCTACGCCGCGCTCCTCGGCCCGCGGCTCGCACAGCCGTTTGACGAGTTCCTGCTCGGCTCCGCCGATGACCTCCGCGCCTTTGTGCTGCAGACGCTAGCCGAGCTCCCGGACGCGCTGCTGGCGTCCGAGCCCGCCGTAGGCTTTGTCATTGACCGGCTGCAAGCCGTCGCCGGCCTCATTCCGGCCACCAACGACGACATGCAGGAGTTCATCCTCCCGGCCGTGGCGCATGGCGGCGAGCCGGGTAAGGCTGCTGCCGGCAAGCGCAAGCGCAAGCGGTCGTCATCGGAAGCCAAGCCGTTGCGCGGCTCGGCTGTCACCGCCAAGGACGTGCGCAAGGCGTACGAGCGGGCCTGGCGCAAAGCGGTCTCGGCGCAGGCTCTCACGCCTGCTCTCTACAAGGCCATCCTCGAGACGTTCCCAGAGACCATCCTTGCCAACGTGCTCAAGCCGCTGACCTGGCTCGACTTTCTGGCCCACGCCTACGAGCAGCCCGGCATCGTCGCCGTCCTCGCCCTCTCGGGCATGCACGAGCTCATCACCAAGTACAACCTCGAGTACCCGCAGTTCTACGCCAAGCTCTACTCGCTCCTCACGCCAGCCGTCTTGTATGCCAAGTACCGCGCCCGCTTCTTCAAGCTGGTGCACAAGTTCATGCGCTCTACTTACCTCCCGCACTACCTCGTCGCCGCCTTTATCAAGCGTCTGGCTCGCCTGGCGCTCTCGGCGCCGCCGCAGGGTGCGCTCCTCGCCATCCAGCTCATCTTCAACATGATGACGAACAACCCGGCGACTGTCGCCCTCGTCCATCGCCCCGAGTTTGTGGCCCGCGTCGCAGGCTCCGGCCCGCTCGGGCCCGACTCGGCCGGTGCCGACCCGTTCGACGAGTCCGAAAACGATCCCGCCAAGACCAACGCCCAGGCCTCGTCTCTGTGGGAGCTGCAGGCTCTCGAGCATCACTACTCGCCCACCGTCGCACGTTCCGCGCGCGTCTTCCGCACCCTCGAAGAAGAGAAAGCCTACAAGGTCCGCAAGCGCAACCACGCCGCGCGCCAAACCGCAGCCCTCGACTCGGCGCTCAACACCTCGTACGCCACTCTCATCGCTGTTGAGCTCAAGCATCGCCCGCGCGTCAAGGTCAAGGGCACAAAGAAGAAGGCGCACGTCGCCGTCGCGCTCTCCCACATCCGCCCGAGAACCCTCTTCTCCGATCGCGAGCGCTCCGCCGTCTTTGCGCCCTTTGTCCTCGCCGCCCCTGCCTCGCTCGAGCCGATTGCCGCCGCCGCCGGAAGCGATGTCGAGCCCGAGCCGTAATAGACCAGTGCCGTGTGACACTGCTGCCAACCTTGTCGTCGCTGCCCTCCCCCCCCCCCCCCCCCCCCCCCCCCCCAAAACCGGGGGGCACCTGCACGCCAATTTCCGTTTCCATGCTTTCCGCCACTTCCAACAACCACTTGGCGACACGCCCTTCCACACCACTTCCTCGTCGCTCTCTTCCGTGGCAGCTCCGTCAGCCCTCCCCCCCCCCCTCCCCTCCTCCTCCTCCTCCTCCCCTCCCTTCGTCACCACCACCATCACTGCATTCCTTCCATACACCTGCCCATCCTCATGGACACCAGGGCCACCGTCGCTCTCGTGGCGGACAACCTCTCGCCGGCCGAGGCGAATGCAGCACTGCGGCAGCAATTGGCCGTTCTGCAGACGGAACGGACCGTGTTCCAAGAGCAAGTTGCTGTGACGCTTGCCTCTGTTTTATCCGAGCGCCACAGCTTGGAGGCGAGCGCAGCCGCGGCTGCTGAACGCGGACAGGTCCTCCGTCGCTATGTTGAGCTTGTCACCGAGCGCCGCATCATGGCCGCCAATGTCGCAGCCAAGTTGACCGAGCTGGAACAGGTCAATGTCGCGCTCGGCGAAACTGTCGAGCTGCTCGAGGGTAACGCCGCGCTCCGCGCCTCGCTCGATGGCATCCACTCGCATACTCGGACCTTGCGCTCTCTGGCAAAGCGGGGCAGAACTCGACGACATCAGCGCCGCCACCGCTGCCGCCGGCGCACGTGGCTGCCTCGTCGCATCGCTCGTCGTCGTCGTCGGGCTCGGGCTCGTGCTCGTCCTCGGCAGTCATTTCGGCATCGCTTCGTGAGGCCTCCGAGCTGCACGCCTCGCTGGTGGCTGCCCGCGTCGCCCATCGCGACATCCAGATGAAGCGCGACGCACTCGCGGTCACGGCCGCCGAGCTCACCGCCGACGCAGGTGTTCTGCGGGCCAAGCTCGACGCGTTGCGCGAGGCACGAGCGCAACTTTGCTCGGCCCGCACCGAGAACGTGCTTCTTCGCCAGAGCCGAGACAAGCTCGCGCGACAAGTTCAGCTGGCCAAGGCCCAGCTGCGCGACGCCGCCGCTGACGCCGGCACACCCGACGCTGCCGCCGAGAGCTTGGAGCTCCGCCGCCAGCATCGCGTCCATCTCGCCACCTCGTTCCAGCTCACCGAAGCCATTGCCGCCGTCAAGACCGACGCTGCTGCCGCCGATGACACCGCGGCGGCGCTGCAAGCCGAGCTTGCCGAAGCCATCGCCTCCCACACCAAGCACACCATGACTGTCCGCCGGCTCAAGCGTGCCACCTCTGGTCTACAGGCCCGCAAGTACGCGCTGCAGTCCGAGGTCATCGCCGGCGTTGGCGAGAAGAACGAACTCATCCTCACCCTGGAGGAGCTTGCTGCTGCCGCCGCCGACTTGCACAACGCGGAGGAAGACCACGACGCGCTGCGCGCCGAGTGCGTTGCTGAGCTCGCTCGTAACCGCGAACTCGATGCTGCGGTAGGCGCCAAGCTTGCCGCTCGCAACGCTGCAGCTGCAGACTCTCCGTCGCCGCTTTCGCCGCTCGCCAGCGCGCCGGAGACCAGCCAGCCCGTTCCGCCACAGCAAGCCAAGCGTCGCTCATTTGTCGGGCCCGAGATCGAGGCCAAGCTTCGCGAGCTCATTGCTCCCGAACCCGTGCCGCTCGCCGACGGCCCTGCTCCTCGCCCGCACCCAGACGTGACGAAGGTTTCGGCGCAGTCGCTCTTTGACGCCGCCGCTGCTGTCGCGGCGTCGGAGACATCAGAGGCACCGCTTCACCGGATGTTGTGGGACGGCGGGGTGGAGGAGCTGACGGGAGCGTCGTCGATGTCTTCTGAGTCGCCCGAGACCTCGCACGCCGCCGTCACCGCCAACTCGCTCTCGGCAGGCTCTGCGCACGGCGTCTGCTCGGCGTCTTCGGGCTCGGGCTCGTCGTCGAACGCGCTCTCGGCCTCGCTCGAGCAGCGCATCAAGCATGCGACCGTGCCACAGCTTGTCGAAATGATGACCCACCCGCGGCACGCGTACCTCGACCTTGTACAGGCCTTCCTCCTCACCTTTCGCGAGTTTTGCTCTCCGCTCGAGTTCCTCGAACTCCTCATCATGCGGTTCTGCGTCACGCCACCGCTCCGGTCTGACGCGGCGCGGTTCACCACTCGCGTCCTCACACCCATCCGGCTGCGGGTCTTCAACTTGCTCAAGATGTGGCTCACAAGGTTCCCGGCCGATTTTGGCCACGTGGCCGCGCCAGAGCTCACTGCTATGCTCAACGACTTTGTCACTCGAGTCATGCCTGCTACCGGCATGGAGGTCGCGTCGCGCAAGCTTGCAGACCTGCTCGACGCCGCTGTGGCCACCGAGGCCTCGGCGTCGATTACCTCGATCAGAGTGGCCGAGGACTCGTGCCCGGCCGTGCGCGGCGCGCTCGCAGCGCTCGCAGCGCCTGACGCCGGCGTGCGGACCGAGGCTGACGGCTCGGATGTCATCGACCTCGGCGCCGCACCCAAGAAGCGCATCCGCGAGCTGGCCTATGCGCTCTCCATGATGGAGGAAGTGCTCTTCCGCTCGATTCCCGAGACCGAGTTTGTCAACCTCGCGTGGTCATCGGCTGACAAGGAGCGCCGCGCACCGCACCTCCTCCGCATGATCCGGTTCTCCGGCCGGGTCACACGCGGCGTCCAGTTCCTGGTCCTCCGCGCTGCTGGTGTCCGCGCCCGCGCCAAGGCTCTTCGAAAAGCCATTCTCCTTCTTGACGCACTCATGGGCGTCAACAACTTTAACGGCGCCATGGAGGTCATGGCCGCACTCAACTCGGCCGCGCTCCGCTCACGCTCGCTCAAGCGGGTGTGGGCCAAGCTTCCGTCGTCGGCGACGTCGCTCTTTGACGACCACGCCGCCACTCTCTCGCACCAGGGCTCATACAAGGAACTCCGCTCGGCGCTTGCCGCAGCCGACCCGCCGCTTATTCCCTTTGTCGGCATGTTCCTCACCGACCTCACCTTTATCGCTGGCTCTCGCTCTCCGCTCCCGCCGCCGGCCGCCGGCATCGACGCCCACGTCAACATGGCCAAGTGGTACAAGTACGCCAAGTCCATCGGACTCATCACCCGCCTCCAGGCCATGGGCTACTCCTCGGATCGCAGCGCCAAACTCCCATCCGAGCGCGCTGTCTGGGAGTGGGCCGCCGCCATCTCTCACACCGATCGTACCCTCTCCACCGACACCGAGCTCTTTGCCCTCGCCGATGCCCGTGCCGATGCGTGATGACCCTCTGCATCACCGTCCATTTGTTTGCGACGTGATCCAGAGCCCATCCCCGCCCGCCGCCCATCCGCCTATCTCAATGAACTGTGCTTCCTTTCCGCATCGCCCAGACCTGCCAGCGGCGTCGAGCGGCAATGCGGCGTGCGCGTGACTCTTAACCGCAAACCGACCTCACCCCACTCCCTCCCCTCCCACCTCCTTCCCCACCCACCCCACCCTTCCCCGCACCACCCCACTCCATCCCATTCCACTCCACGCCACTACATGTCGTCGGTCCCGCGGTCGGCGGGCCCAGACTCCGGGCCAACCGCGGCCAGCCCAGGCCTCTCGCCGGGCACGGTGTGGACACGCGACGGGCAAGCGACGACAACAGCCACGTACATCCCGCCACAAGACCACATCGTCTCGTCGCTCCCGCGGCAGCAGGTCACCGTCCACATCTCGCCGCGGCGCAAGCGCATCATCTCGGCCAACGCCCCGGCTGCCCCACAAGCCGGAGGCCCCGAGTCGAGCCACCCACATCGCCGCCCACGCTCCCACCGCCGCCAGCAGCCGCAGCAAGGCCAACCGCTGCTCCAGCCGCACGGCACGGTCGTGCTCGGCCTCTCACCAAACTCGATGGGGGGCGGGCCCGGCCCGTCGCTCATGCCGAGCTACGGGAGTGGTCCGGGCGCCGCGGCGGTGGCAGCTGCAGCAGGCTCGCCCATGTGGGCGGGAGGCCGCGGTGGCGCGCAGGTCGATCCGCGGACCTCGCGCACGTCGCTCTCGGCGGTCTCGGACATCTCGGCGGCACACGGTGGCGGGTACCGCAACCCTCTGCAGCTACCTCCTGAGCCACAGCTCTACACCGCTGACGACGATATCTACGCTATCCCGCTGAGCGAGGCGTGGGCTGACCACGTCAACGTCGACCTAGGTGCGGTCTTTGTTCTCCTCGCATCGCTCGCTCTGGCGTGCCTGGTGTACGGGCTTGCGAGCGAGTGGTACGCGCTCAAGGAGCGCGGTGACGTGCCATCGGCGTCGGACAACACCATTCACATGGTCTACTCTTGGTTTGCGGTGACGACTCGCGTCTGGGTCTCGACCGGATCGCGCGCCCTCTTTCCCTATCCGGCCGTCCGCACCCTGCTCCGTCAAGTCATGGCCCTTGTTCTCACTGCTGGTGTCATGGCACTTGTCGTTCTTTTCACTGGCGGCATCTCGTTCTGCGCCCGGCTCTCGCTCCGTCGGTCGCGGGCGCGGTCGGCGGCGGTCGCCTCGGCACTGGCCGCCACGCTCTGTGTTGCCGCCGCCATTGCGGCCATCCTTCTCTTTCGCGCCGAGTTTGCGTCTGCGGCGTCGTCGGACAACATGTGCGGCCCGACAGTTCCCGATGTGTCGCAGACGTACTGCGGGGCGTTCTCGGGCTCGAGCGAGTCTGCGGCAGCTCGCCGGGCATGGGGGCCCGGCGCTGGTTTTGGTGCCGCTGCTCTCGGCGCCGCGCTTGTCTTTGGCTCAATGATTCTCGGGCTGTGGTGGGATGAGCCGCGTGGTGCCCTCGCGGCCACCATCCTCGCCGCTGTTGCCATCGCCACCTTTGCCGTTGCGGTCGCTGACGACTGGATGGTTTACGAGGTCGAGCTGCACGAGTTGCCTGGAGTGACGCTGCCCGAGTTCCGAGTTAACCAGACCCGGTTCCGTGTCCTCGACGTTCTCCTCACCGAGGAAGTGTACAAGCCCGACGACCGAGTCAGTCACCTAATGCGGCTGCTGCACTCTGTCTTTGCCCTCGAGCTGGCGGCGGCTGGGTCTGGCGCACTCGCGCTGGCCTGCTGCTGGCTGGCGTACATCAAGGTGCTTAACCTGAGGACTGGGTGCCTAGGCCTCCACGCCGTCGTATTTGCGCTCTGTGCGCAGGTCATGTGCGTGGCGCTCGGCCTCGCCGGGTTAGCCTTTTTTGCCATCGAATACCCGTCAGCGGCCGAGGCCGACAACGCGTGCACCCGGCAGCGCTCGCTCGCTGACAAGGCAGTTCTCCCCGGATGCTCATTCATCGGCTCAGCAGTCCTGGCGCCCGACGCTCAACACGGCACGCGGACACTCTCCTGGGGCGCCGGCGCTGGGTACTGGGTCACGCTCGCAGGCTGCGTCTTGCAGCTGGCGTCGATGGTGGTTCTCGGCCTCCGCCGCAAGCGCGAGTCAGAGCGCCAGGCCCGCCCGCTCCTCATCGCCTCGCTCGGCATGTCCGGCAAGGAGGCGCGGCGGCGGACCAAGTCCAAGAGCGCCTCGGGCTACGGCAAGCCACGGCGGTACGTGTAGCAGCGCGAGCTCGTTTTACGCGACACACTAAACATGTTCTCGCTCTGCTTCAGTCAGTCTGTGATGTGATAGCCGCCATCCACGTCGCCCGCTCGTCGTCGTCAGCAGCGAAGAACCGGTACGTCCGCCGCTGCTCGTGGTAGATCTCAAAGGCACAGTCCTTGCCCCACACAGACTTGTCGACAGCCTGGACCGTGCAGCCGTGCAAAACAACGACGCCGGCTGGCTTTGAGTCCGACTGCGACTTGTAGTAGTAGAGGTGATCGTCGCGGCACACACACCACCGCTTTTGCCACTTGGAAGTCTTGCCGCCCGACTGCTTCTTGAGAAAGCCCGAATGCGAGACTCTCGCTGATGACGATGACGCGGGACCTGCGCCATCAGCCGCAGTGCTAACACCGCCGCTGCCGCTTGCGCTTGCATCGACTGGGTCGTCCTCGGCTCCGCTAGGGGGGTTCTGGCTTGGCGCGGCCGAGATGAGATACGCTTGCGAGGCGCGGTCGTGGTGCGCGCCAGCGAGGCGAATGATGGCGGCGTCAGGAGCGATCGGTGACAGCGCTTCGTGCGAGGTTGGCTCCTGGTCGGGAGCAGCAGGGGCGGCCGGGTTCCGGAGGGCGTGAACGGCGGCAAGATCGGCGAGTTGCATGCGGATGGTCGAGACGACCGACGAGAGCGAAGATATGTCCGACTCGAGGTGCTTGTTGGCTGACTCGAGCGAGGCCACCTTGCGATTAAGGGCCCTGACGGTCTCCTTGAGCTTGACGTTTTCGTCGGCGATCTGGTTGATGTCGGGCGCCGGGCGGGTCCGCGGCTCAACAGCGAGCGAGCGGCGGTAGGCCTCCTCCTCGTCGAGCGCCGATTTGAGTTGACCCGAGATAAAGTCCTGGACAAGCTCGACCGGAACCAGCTGGTATCGCATAAGTTGGAACTGGCGGACGTCGCCCAGAACCTTGGCAATGAGGTCGTACTTGGCAAAGTTGATGAGGCCCTCGTCAGTTGTGTCTGGGTTCCCGTCTTCGAGAAATGTGAGGTCAGTGAGCCACATGCCGAGATACGGCACCGCCGGTGGGTCGACCTTGTTGAGCATCTTGCGGTACGCCTTGTAGTTGCCCTCGTTGGAGATGAGCGCCTCCAGGTTGGCGCGGATGCGAACGTTGCGCTTAGTCGCCTCCACCAACGCCCATGTCTGTTTGAGCCTGTGGATGGGAGTCGCCGAGAGCGAAGCAATGATGGCAAGCGTTGACGAGACGTTGTTGAGCTTGGCGCAGCCTTCGGCGACGCGAAGCGCAAACTCGATGGCCTGGGCGCGCGTGCCAACGTCGGCCTCGGACACGATGGCGTCGCGGAAGAGGCACGAGATGCCGTTGAAGAGCTCGATGGCCGAGAGCACGTTGGGCGAGTTGTCCTCGCGACCGGCCTTCGACCAGGCACAGCCCATGAGCTCGGTGAGCCGGATGCGGCAATACGCTGAGTGCTCCATGAGTGTCAGCTGGCGGGCAACCTCGAGCGGGTCGAGGTCAAAGAGCGAGCGGACGACAGCAAAGTCGGCTGGAAGCAGCGGCGGCGGCGGCGAGTCTTCACGGTGATGACCAGACGTAAAGTAGGCTTCGGCATCTGCAGACGGACCCGAGAACCGGTCTGCGGTCTTCTCGTACGCGGTAGAGACAGCGATGGCAAGTTTGACGAGCGGCTCGTCAGAGTCGTCGGCGGCAATCGACTTGAGAAAGCCAAAGAGCGCGTCGCGGAGCGAGAGGTCGTCGAAAAAGTCAACGTAGCCCGAGGTGACCCAGAGCTTCAAGGCGTTAAGGACCCGAAACTTGATCATGACCGAATCTTCGGGCTCCTCGTACTCAAGCGAGCCGCCAGTCTGAAAGCGCTCGATAAGGGCGGTTAGGAGCTCGTGCGACGACGCATATGACTTGTAGGTCAAAATAATGGCGTGGAGGAGGTCAATGTCAGGCGCCTTGGCGTAGGTAATCCTCTCGACGAGCTTGGTCAGGGTGGCGGCAATGACCGGCGGAACGTCATGGCCGGGCGCGAGCTTGCCGAACCGGATGTGCGTCGAGTCGCGGAGCTCTTGCGGGAGAAAGTGATCGCGATCAACCTCATCCACAAAGACCAGCCGCGAGGCATGCATGTTGCGCTCGGCCTCAGCCATGGCTGGCGAGAGCGGGGGAGGACGGACTTGGAAAACGCAGACACTAGAAAGTACGGATTGACCGAGTACAGCGCGGTTGGGTCAAACACGAGCCGCGATGCCGCCGGATTGAACTGGTGCGGGCGGGTGAGAACCTCATTAGCCCCGTTGACCACCGGCGAGATGTAGCCGACCCGAAGGAAGAGGTCGAGCTCGGTGGTCGCGGCGTCGCGGTCGTCTTTGAACGAGAGCACCTCGGAAGAGAGGAAGGAGACCGCGTCCGAGCCACGGAACGGGGCGTCAGAGCCAGCCACCGAGTTGAGCGACGAGACAAGCCGCTTGAGAATTGACAGGCGCTCGATTGAGGTCAGCTCGTGATCCTCGTGGATGGTGATGGCAACAGTGACCAGCGAGCCGCGGTTGGACGCCGGGCGCGGGAGGAACTTGAGCCGGCGACTTTGCAAATGCCGAGGTACGTCATGGAGATCGCCGAGTGTGCACACCACCTCGCCGATAACGTCTTGCTTTTCCAGCTCGTGCGAGTGGACATCAATGTCGTAGACCACAAACCGCATCTTGCGCTGCGGCATGTACGGAACCAGAAAGGTGGTGCGGAACTTGGGATGCAGTGAGTCGCGGATCTCCTCGGTCCGGCCGAGCTCCAGCCACTCTGCCGACTCTGCCGACCAGATGTACAGCACACACACTACATGGGTGCCGCGGAAACGAGGATGTGGTGATCATGCGATGAGTGTAGAGTGAGTGTGGGGAGGAGGTGTGCGGGGAAGAAGGCGAGCAGCTGGGGTCACTTACTTGGGTCCGACAGAGAGAACCTGTCGAGGTTGATGAGCTCGTGGGCCTGGACGTAGATCTCTAAGAGAGTGTGCTATGCGGTGGGTGGTGGGGGTGAGTGGGTGCATAGGGGGGAGGGGGGGGGGGGGGGGGGGGGAGGAGGGGGTGTTCGTGCTGTGTACCTGTGCAACGGCGTCAGTGATGGTCGACATCTCCTCCGAGTCGTCCATGGCGACTGTACGACGGGTGTGCGTGAGAAAGCGTGAGGACTGAGTGTATGTATGTGGTATGTATGGGAATAGAGGGGGGAGGGAGGAGGGGAGGAGGGATGAGTGTCTGATACTGTTAGTGGTGGGGTGGTGGAGGTGGACCTCTGTCCGTAACGCCAATCTGTTCAGTTGGAAGGCCAACACACATGTAACACACATGGCAGGCAGAGTAGGCATGACAGACAGAGTACGCATGGTACACATCGCAGACAGACTGCACATGGTACACATCGCAGACAGACTGCACATGGTACACATCGCAGGTAGACTGCAAATGGTATACATCGCAGACTGCACATGGCAGACAGAGTACGCATCGCACACATACAACACATCGAACGCATCGTACACATACCACACATACCACATATACCACACATACCACACATACCACATATACCACACATACCACACGTACCACACATCATACAGACGCCCTCTCCCCCCTCCCCCTCCCCCCCCCCCCCCCCGCGACGATCGGATTCTCGCGCCTCTGCCAAGCCACAACCACAGGAGCAGACTAAGCCACCAACCACCCGCCACTAGAGCAGAGTCGGGCGTACGCTTACGCTTCTCTACGCATGCGTAGACGTAGACGTGCTTCCATGGCCGTCGAAAAGGTGCCTTGCCTGCGGACGGTGTTGGCTCTGACTCTGCTGGTTGCTGCTGGCGTTGCGGTGGTGGTGGCGGCTGGCGAGGCGAGCGAGGTCGATGCCGAGGCGCGCAAAGCTCTGGCGAAGCGGTTCCCGCTACCGTGGAAGGTCTCGCGATCTGTGACGGTCTTCTACGGCGACTTTCGTGACGGAGGCTTGTGGGACTCCGAGGCTGCTGGATGCAAGGCGGCGGGCGCGGCGCCAGAGGACCACCCGCTGATGTTGCGCGTGTGCGCGGAAGGTGACGGCAAGAGCGAGGAACAGTCCGGGCAGGCCCGACGGATGAAGATGCGGTCGAACGGCTGGCTGGTCTTGCAGATCCTGAAGGAGCGTGGACTGAGTATGCGGATGGCGAGCCCGTGGGGCCGGCTCTTCTGGGTGAGGGTCGGCCTGCCCGGCGTGCCGACCGGCGACTGGCCACTGCTCGGGTATGGCGAGCTCGGTCCGCACCAGCTTGTCAACCGGATTCCTGGCATGTCAACTCTGCTGAACAAGAAGGATGCGTTCGCGCGGTCAGTGGCTGCAAAGCGGGCGGCGTTTCCGGACGGCGGCTTTGACTTTCACCCGGTCTCGTACGTGCTGCCAGCCGACTCGGCAGCGCTGGCGAAGGCGGCGGCAGCGGTGGTGGCGTCCGGCGGAGACCAGCGGTTTATCATCAAGCCAGTGTGTGGTGGGCGCGGGCAGGACATCTCGGTGGTAGCGGCTGAAGACGTGGTGGCGGCTGCGCCGGCAAACGGCGAGTGGCTCGTCCAGGACTACATCGGCAATCCACTGCTTGTCGACGGCCACAAGTTCTCCATCCGGCTTTACTTGCTGGTGACGTCGGTCAATCCACTGCGGGTCTTTGTCGCCCGCGAGGGCATTGTCAAGTTTGCCGGCATTCCGTGGTCGGCCTCGCGCGCTGCCAACGCCCTGGATCCGGCCAACATCAACATCCACATCACCAACAACGCCGCCAACGCCCACACGCCCGGCTTTGAGAGCTCGGACTCGCCCGAGGTCGACGACGTCGGGCTGCGGCGGTCGATCTCGGCCATCCGCCGCCAACTGGCGGATGCCGGTCACGACGACGCCGCCATCTTTGCCGCCATCGACGACGTCCTCCTCAAGGCCGTGCTCGCAGTCGAGGACGAGGTCTCGGGGCTCATCGACGCGTATGTGCCGTATCCCAACAACACCTTTCAGCTGCTGGGTGTCGACGTTGACCTCGACGCCAACCTCAAGCCGTGGGTCATCGAGCTCAATGTCAACCCATCGCTCGGCTCGCATGCTGCCTTTGAGACGCCGCACAAGAAGGAGCTCCTGCACACAGTACTGGATATGGCCGGCGCCACGCCGTTTGATGCCGCTGCCTTCAAGGCGGAGGTCATCGCTCCGCGCGTCCACGCCGCCTCGTGCTCCGGCCAGCCCGAGCCCGGCCTCCCGCAGCAGACCTGGTGCGACGAGCGAGTTTTTGCCGCAGTCGTCGACTTCGAGTACGAGCTCGCCATGGCCCGCGGCTTTGACCCGCTCTTCCCGCGTGCCCACAACGGGCGGACCATGGCCGGTTACATGACCACGCTCAAGGACGCCGATGCGGCGCTTCTCGACTACGTCCTCTTCAAGTCGGCACGCCCGCCGCCGCCGAGCCCCCCGTTCCATCTCCACACTGAGCTGTAAAATATTCACCCATCGAGAAATGCGCGGAACGCGTTGAGCTCCGAGAGCGCCGCCGCCACCGACGAGCTCCCGGCCTCACCCGGCCCGCGGCTTGGCTCGCCACGGATGATCGCCGGCGGCAGGTAGTCGACCTGCCGGCGGGCAGCAGCAATGCGAGCGCGCGCCGCCTCGCGCTCGCGCGACTCGACCTCGGCCTGGGCGAGCATGGCAGCGAGCGCGGCGTCGTCTGACGAGGCGCGCCAGCGCGCCGCCTTGGGTGCCTGTGTCACGGCCTGCGGGCGCGATGGCGACGAGCTCGTGCCCAGCACAGCGCCGAGTCTGCGAGTAAGCTCATCAATCTCTGCGTCTTTGGCGGCAACAGTGGCTTCTGCGGCAGCAGCACGCGCCTCAGCAGCGGCCTTCTCCTGCCTCAGTACCTGCGCCTGGGCGCGAACAGCGCGCAGCTCTGCCGCGAGCTGGGCCACCTGCGCCGCGGCCGAGTGCGCCGCAGCCTCAGACGAGCGAACGAGGCCGTCGACTGAAGCATGTGCCATGGCCCCCGCTGCCGCCGCCGTACTCCCCTGCGCCAGCGCCGCACTCGCCGCCATAGTCTGCGCCGACGCCGTGGCGGCCTCCGCCTCCAGCACCGTTGTCCGCGCCCTGTCCAACTCGCCCGCCACCGACTTCCATGCCCTCTCCACCGCATGCGCCAGGTCAATCACCTCGCCCAGCTCTGCATTCTGCATGTTGCTCATGGCCACCGCCGCGTCCGCAGCCGCAGACATCATGCCCGTTCTCACGGGTGCGGTGTGACCAGGCCAGAGCCAGCCGTGGCCGTCAGTGTCGCCGTGGCGAAAGGCCGCGCGATCAAAGGCGGGCATGGCGTGATCGATCGGGAAGCTGATGCGGGCAGGCACAGGCACGGAGGGCCGAGGGACCCTCACTCCACCCACACTCGCACACTCGCACCACTCACATATATACACGCACAAGCACACACTCACGCGCACATACATACACGTGATGAGTGCCGCCTCATGCACCAGCCTGGGGCTCAGCACCGAGCCGCGGGTGGTCCGACTCAAAGCCTCGCCCGCACCGCTGCTGAACAACCTCTCCACCAATGGCTTGCACTACGCCTACGTCTCCAAGCGGAGGGTCCACATGGTACCAGTCATGGCGGCTTCTGAGCCCGACGGCACGCTGCACACTCGTGTTCCCTACAGCCCGACCGGAGCCATCATGGCCTCGGGCTGGGACCGGGCCGACGGCCGCGCCCTCCTCCGGCTGGCCTCTACCGATGCCGTCACCCTGCTCGACGCCACAGGTACGCAGACCGTGGTCAAGCACGCACTCGATGCCGACGATGTCTCGCTCTTCTTCTCTGCCGCTGCCGTTGTCCCGTCGTGGAAGGGCTCGGCCGGCGCTGTCCTCCTCGCCGGCATGTCCACCGGCGCTATCCGCGTCGTTGACATCCTCTCTGGCCAGCCGCTGGCTCAGTTGGACGCTTCGGATAGCGAGGGCGATGGCGATGCTGATCCTACAGGCTTGGCCCATGACTCGTGCATCACCGCCCTCGTGGCGATCGCGCCCGACGACGCCAACGCTACCACCGCTCCGGGCGCCACTCTCTTTGTCTCGGCCGACGACTCGGGCTCGGTCATTGTCTGGGATGCCGCGTCGGGTGCGCCCGTCCGGAGCATCCATTCTGGCGACGGCATTCCCGTCACCGCCGTTGTCGCCCATGGCTCGACCGTCGTCGCCGCCTTTGCCAACGGCGTCCTCCGCTTCTTCTCGCTATCAGACCCGGAGCTAATCACCGAGGTCCACGCCCACGCGCGCGTGCCGACCGGCCTCGCCCTCATGGGCTCGCGCCCCATCGTTGTCTCAGCCAGCCATGATTCGTGCGTCTACGCCTTTGACTTTACAGACCTCACCAATGTCACCCAGGTCTTTGCCGCTACCGTTGACGGCGCTCTCCTCCAGGGCGTCGCCGCCACAAGCTCGTCCATCGCTGTTGTCTCCTACGACTCGCACAAGCTGCGCATCTTCAAGTAACAAATCCGCGATCCCCTTCCTCTCCATCGTCCTCCCCCCCCCCCGAGTTTCCGTCGCCCAGAGTCCTGCCGCCCGACTCCCACCGCCTAGACCGGCGGTGACCTTCCACAGGCCACCCAGCCGCGGTCGCGTCGACCGCCGACTCGACTCAACCCTCAACCCACTCCTCCCCCGCCCCCCACCCCCCCCACACACACCACCCCACCACCACACACACACACACACACACACACATTCATGCTACGAACAGGGCGCCTGCTGGCGGCAGCTCGTGGAGTGCTCCCGGCGCTGCCAGCGCTGCCGCTGCCGGCGGCGGCCCGCACCCGCAACCAAGCCCGTGGCGGGCAAGGGCCCGAGCCCAGGATATGGGGCGCACGGACGGTGTTTGCGGGTGCGGGTGCGTCAGTGTATGCTCGTGGCTGGCTGGCGAGTGATGGTGGCGGCCGCTCGGTCGAAGACGGTCCGGAGAACGAGCTCGACCACCGCGACGTGCTTACCGAGGCCGAGGCCCTCTCCTCGCTCCTTGTCTCGTCGGCCTCGATCCGCAACGCCGGCCTGCATCCGGTGGCCGTCCTCGGCAAGCACCGCTGGTTCCGCCGAGATGAGATCGAGGACCTTGCCCGGCACACATGGGGCTCGCTCGACAACATCGAGCGCGTCCGTCGCGAACGTGCCCACGCTGCCGAGCTCTTCCGTGACGCAGCAGCCGCGGCGGCGTCGGCAACAAACTCCGCGTCGGCGTCTGCTGTCGAGGGCGATGCTCCTCGTCCACATCCGCCGCTCCGCCCTCCGCCTTGGGGCATGCAGGGCTTCCCGGGCGGCGGAGGGCGGCGCGAGGATGACGAGGCGAGTGACAGCAGCGGAGCTGCGGCTGCTGCCGCCGGCGACCCGCGGCTGCTGGAAGACTCACTCCCGTTCTCGGTCCTTCGCAAGGTGGCGCGGCGGCGGAAGCGGCGGCAGGAGAAGAAAGACTCCACGCTCGCGCTTCCGCTCAAGCCGACCAAGTCGATGTCGTCGTCGAGCACAACCGTGTATGCGGCCATGGCCGGCAACGTGCTGATCATGGCCGGCAAGGCGGTAGCGTTTGTGCTCTCGGGCTCGGGTGCGATGCTCTCCGAGGCGCTGCACTCTGCGGCCGACGTGGCCAACCAATCGCTGTTGCTGGTCGGCATCAAGCGGTCGCAGCGCGAGGCCGATCCGTCGCATCCATACGGCTACGCGCGAGAGGCCAACATCTGGGCGCTCATCTCGGGCGTCGGCACGTTTTCCTCGGCGCCGGTGTTGCCGCCTACCACGGCATTGACACGCTGCTTGACCCGCCGGAGCTCACTGAGCTTCCATTTTCGCTCGCCATGCTCTCGGCAGCCTTTGCCATCGAGTCTGCCACCCTCGCCTACGCCGCCCGGGTTGTCGCTGCCGACGCCCGCAAGGCCAATGCGTCGTTCCTCGACTACGTCGTCGACGGCGCCAACCCGATGGCGGTCGCGGTCCTCGTCGAGGACTCGGCGGCGGTGGCCGGTGTTGTCATTGCCGGCACCGCCATCACTGCCTCGTACCTCACCGGCAACCCGGTGTACGACTCGGTCGGCACGCTCCTGGTCGGCGCCCTCATGGCCGGTTGTGCCACCTTTATCATCCGTCGCAACATGCGTGACCTAGTCGGCAAAGCCATGCCCAAGACCTCGCAGGACCAGATCCTCTCGCTGCTTGAGGCCGACAAGGCTGTCGTTGCCGTCCACGAGGTCAAGGCCGTCCTCATGGGCCTCGACGAAATCCGCTTCAAGGCCGAGATCGACTTTGACGGCCGCCAGATCGCCAAGCACCTCATCCGCAAGCGCAACATCGACCTTGCCGCCCTCATGGCCATCGAGTCGGAGAAAGAAATGGAGGCCTTTCTCGTCCAGTACGGCGACGACATCATCGAGCAGCTCGCCGACGAGGTCGACCGCATTGAGCGCGAAATCTCCCGTGTTGTTCCTGAAGCCCGCTACATTGATCTGGAGGCTCATTGACCCATCCCGTCCGCCGGCTCTTTGCCGACCACGTTCTCTCCCGCCACTGGCTTATTCGCGCCCTCATCACACCGCTGCCACGACCTTGCACCGCTAAACGCGTCGTTCATTGCCCGGCACACACCTTTGCGTCGAGGTCGGGAGAAGTCTGACGCCGATTCCCCGCTTGAATCCTGCCGACACAGGCCAATTCGCCCAACTCGCTCCCACGACTGCCATACTCCACTCTCGAGTACGTACCCAAGCAGCGTGTGCAAGCCACCGCATGCAATACCTTTCCCCCTACCCTTTATGCTCAGGCCAATGACGAAAGCATGCCGCCCCCTGGTGTGTCGCGTGGAGCGCCGTCCATGGTTCCCCTTCCCCCCCTGGCCCCCCCCCCCGTTTGGGGCGTCAATGCTCATTTTGGCAAAGGCTTTGCCAACCACAAAACTGCCCCCCCCCTGTTGCCGGACTGGGACCACCCGCACGTGCTCTGGTCTGTACGTGGGACGTGGTGAGGTGGTGTGCGTGGTGTGCGTGGTGCCCACCTTGTTTGCCCCCGACATGCGCGTGCAAGTGTGGTGGAGCTGGACCGGCGGTCAGCTCGTGGGGCTCTTGCCAAAGCTGCCAACAACACCTCCTGACGCCGGGGGCTTCCGGAGGGTGCTGCGGGACGACGGAATGGGGTGGACTCACAATGAAGACGGGACTGGATGACTGGATGACTGGCGGCTGTTTGATGGATGTGTATGGGTACAGGCAACAATGACCGAGTACCAGCTTGTTGTTGTGGGCGCCGGTGGCGTGGGCAAGTCCGCGCTGACGATTCAGCTCATTCAGGGCCACTTTGTGGACGAGTACGATCCGACGATTGAGGACTCGTACCGGTCACAGTACGAGATCGACGGCGAGTCTGTCATCCTGGACATTCTGGACACGGCCGGACAGGAGGAGTACTCGGCGATGCGTGACAACTACATGCGGACAGGCGGAGGCTTTCTGATTGTGTTTGCCATCACGTCGCGGGCATCGTTTGAGGAAGTCCCTGGCTTCCGCAACCAGGTCCTCCGGGTCAAGGACGCGTCCGAGGTCCCGCTGGTCATCTGCGGCAACAAGTGCGATCTCGAGAACGACCGCCAGATCCCCAAAGACGAGGCCGAGTCGCTGGCGCGCTCGTACTCGGTGCCGTTTATCGAGGCTTCAGCCAAGTCGGGCCACAACGTCAAGGAGGTTTTCTTTACCCTTGTTCGCGAGATTGAGCGCCTGCCAACCGTCATGCCGCCGCCGCTCCGCCGCAAGAAGAAGAAGAGCGGCTGTGCTCTTCTGTAACTGCGCTTCGCACCGGTCCACATTCCTCGGTACCTGCAAGCAAGCTACTCCTTTGATCTGTTCCACGCTCTCGCCTCCCCCCCCCCCTTTCCCTCTGTTCTCTGATCCACTGCTCTATTGAAACGATGCATTGTCCAACCAGGTGTAGAAAGCAAAGTGAGTGTTCAATCGAGTCCGGCTTGGCTGAGGAAGTCGCAGGCCGGCTCACGCGTGCTGAACCGCGCGGCCAAGGGGTATCATGGCCCTTTTGTACGGCACGGCGCCCGCATCAAATGAGACCGTCGTACAGCTGCAGGGCCTGGATGATGGACGGGTCATTCCGCGAGCCTTCCTTGAACTCCTCAAGAGTCAGGCGCTCGTCGACATCCTTGTCCATCTGGCGGAAGATCTTGTCGACCCGCTTCTCGGCCGTGTCCTCGTCCTCGGGCAGCTTGACCATGTTGCCGACCATCTTGTAGATGGCATCGACAATCTTGAGCATCTCGTCGCGGGTGATGTACCCGTCGTTGTCGAGGTCATACAGCTGGAAGGCCCACTCAAGTTTCTGGTCCAGCGTCCCCCGCGAAGTCACAGAGAGTGCGCAGATGAACTCCTTAAAGTCGATCGACCCGTTGTTGTCGGCGTCAAAGACGTTGAAGACATACTCTGCAAACGACGATGAGGTGCCGTAGGGGAAAAACTGGCGGTAGATCTTCTGGAACTCCTCCTGGTTCAGCTCGCCCGACGGGCAGTCCTTGCGGAAGCCCTTGTACCTGTACAAACCCCTCACCCACACGTGAGTACCTGCCCTGCGCACTCTCTCCCGCCTCGACCCGACCCGACCCTCCCCCACCCACCACCACCACCACCACCGCCTCCCCCCCCCCCCCCCCCCTCCCCCCCATCCACCCCTCCCCTTCCCCCTTCCTCCCTTCCTTCCCTCCCCTTCCTCTCACTTACAGTAGGTGTTCTGTTGGAGCTCGGCCAGGTCTTCGGCACTCAATTTGGACTCGCGTCCACCCATGGCACCAGCGAATGAAAAAAGAGATGTGGCTGATGGAACTGTGGTCAGTGGCCGGTGACTGGTTGGTGACCGGCCACCGGTCGACGGTCGACGGTCGATGGTCAGTGACCAGTCGGCCACTCCCCTCCCAACCCCCCGCACTACCACTGCCACAACACACACACACATCCACGCACACACACACACTCTCTCTCTCTCTCTCCCGCCCTCCCCCCCCCCACCCCCCACCACACACACACACCATCTCCTTTACCTTGCACACACACCCGCCACACACACCATGCCGGCCACAGGTGCCACCGCAGCCACCGCACAGCCGCATGTCGTCGCTCGACGGTCTCCACACCCACGCCCGCCACATCCGCCGCCGACTCCCTCGCCACCATCCTCGCCGTGGCCTGCCAATGCTTCAGGCTCGCCCCGCCGGGTCAAAGGCCGCACCCTCTCGCCTATGGCGGCGGCGGCCACAGCCTCGGTCCGCTCGTCTTTCTCCCGCGAGACCCGCGTCCTCACCTGGGTCTCGCTCCGCGAGGCCTCGGACGAGCAGGCCGCTCACGAGCGCTTTGTCCACCGCGTCCGCAAGGCGCAGGCTGTCGCTGCCGACCGCGATGCCGCTGCTCTACGCGCCACTCGCCGCCAGGCGCTTGCTAACGAGGAGGCCCGCGCTGCTCAGCGCGCCGCAGACGCCTCCGCCGCCGCAGAGCTCGAGCGTGAGCGGTACAAGCTTCGGGACGCCGTCTTTGCCGCCGAGCAAGCTGAGCGCGCAGAGCACGAGCTGCACGAGGCGAAGGATGCCGCCCGGCTTGCGCTTGCCGAGATGCGCGATGCCGAGCGCCGCGCCAAAGCTGCCCGCGTTCGTGCTGCCGAGGACGCGCTCAAGGCCCGCGCCAAGGCTGAGGTCGAGGCCTCGGACGCCACCCACTCGGCCGCACTCGCTGCTGCACACGCCGAGCGCGACGCTGCACTCAGTCACGCCGAGCGCGCGTACTCTAAGCGCCGCGCCCGCGCCATTCGCACCCGCCGCCGCTACGCCAAGCACCTTGCCCGCCGCGCCAAGCGGCTTGCCAAGCGCGACGCCGCCGAGCGCGAGCGTGCCGCTGCTGCCCGTGCCGCCAAGGTCGACAAGCTCGACGCCGCGCTCCGGGTCTCGCAGCAGCGACATGCGGTGGCCCGCGAGCGTGTCGCCGCCGCCCGCGCTGCCAAACTCGCCCGCCACAATGAGCTCATGCTTGCCGAGGCCGAACGCGAAGCCCGCGCTCGTGCCGCCGAGGCCGAGGCCCGTGAACAGTCCGCCGCTGCCCGCGCTGAGTGGGAGGCGAAGCGAACCGCCATTGTTGCCCGCCGTGACGCACACGCCGAGAATATCCGTGCCCGCCGCGCAAGCCGCTGCCGCGCCGCCGCCGACCGCATCGCTGCCGCAGCTGCAGACCGCGCAGACCGCGACGCCATGCTCGCCGAGCTCAAGGCCGACGAGTTCCGCTACCGCGAACGACGCAAGCAGCTACTGTGGGACATGAAGGTCTCGCACAAGTACGCCGAGTACGAGGCCAAGCTCGCCGCCCTCGACTCGGAGTTTGCCCTCAAGTGGGCTGTCGACGACCACGACGCGAGCTACACGCCAGGCCGCATCTCGCGCCCAACCACCGCGTCGTCGCAGCCCCCGCCGCACATGCAGCCGCCGTCGCCGTCGCAGCCGCGGCCGGCTACCGCCTCGCCGCGCGCTCGCACCGCATCTCCTGCCAATCTTGCTGCCTCGAACAGCGCGAGGGCGTCGAATCCCGACGTCCGCCGCTCCCGCCCGCGCGCGCGGCTGCCGCAGCGCGCACAGTCTATGCGTTCACCGACCCAGCCGGCGGCGCAAGCCCCTCACCAGTCGCCGAATGGCGGCTCATCTGCCAACCTCGATGTGCACAACAAGTCAATGGCCCAGCTATCGGCGTCGACGCCAGTCGCACCCGAGTCAAGTGAGACCAGCGACCCGCCGCCGGCCTCGTCGCTCCCCCACTCGCCCTCTATGCCTGTTCTGCGCGTGTATTAACACACCTAGTTGTTAGCCGGCGGCCACCGGTCAAGGACCGACTTTTTCTGCGGCGCCTTGCCTGCTGTCGATCGAGCCGACGAGGCGGCTGGTGTTGTTGTCTTGGTCTTGGACGACTGCCACTTGTGGACCCGCGGATTGCCGGTCCCAGAAGAGGCACTCGGCGATGTCGAGCTGGATGAGGCCGTCGTTGGAGGCGCAGGATTGGGCCGCGACTGCGACCAGGGCGGCGCAGACTTGCCGGAAGCCCTGGTCGAGGCAGGTGCAGCGGCAGAACCGCTGGGGCTTGTGCTGGCGCCGCCAGGAGGCGGCGGGACCGGCCGGCCGCGGGCCCGCGTGCTGGCGGCCTTGCTCGCCGACGCCTTTGGAATGTTGGCGGATGCTCGTCGCGGATTCGGCGGCGGCGGGTTATCCCGTCTTGAGCTCGCGCCGACGGTTGACGTCCGGTTCCAGACTCGGCCACTGCCGGTCGAGACTGGCGCCGAGTTACGCTGGGCGCGAGCTGGTGCTGGTGCCGGAGCAGGCGCAGGTGCTGGCGTTGCGGGCATGGGTCTACTCGACGTCGCACCCGAGGGTGAGGCGGCCTTGGCCTTGGCGGTCGCCACTTTCGAGACCGAGCGTGTCGGCGCCGGCGGCGGCGGACGATTGCGGATGGCCCCCTTGAGCGATTTGCGCGACGAGGTCGGCGGCGGTGGGGGCATCTTGCCGGCAGTTGGTGAGCGCGACGGCGAGCGCACCGGCGACCGGGCAGGCGTCGCCGGCGGCGGATTCTTCCTGAGCGAAAGCGTCGGCGTCGACGATGACAAGCCCGGCCGTGAGTTTGCGAGCGAGCTGTGCGACGTCGGACGCGAGGAAGCAACCGACATAGGCGGGCGCGAGGTGCGGCCCGGCGGCGGCGGCTGGGGCTTTTTGCGGGCAAATCGGTTGTTGGACAACGGAGCCGACGAGGCGTCCAGCGAGCCGCGGCGGCGGCGGCTGGCGGCGGCGCCAGCCGGCGCCGGCGGTGCGCCCGAGCCCGGTGGTGGCGGCGGCAGCGCCTTGCCGATGGTGAGCGAGCGGCGCTTGTTGGCGCGCAGCGACTTTTTGGCGGCCTCGTCGAGATCCTCGGTGTCGTCAATGGCCGCAGAGGTCTTGATGAGGACCGGGCCGGTAATGAGCCCGCCTTGCGCCGAGCACTCGTTGACCAGCCGCGAAACGTCGGCGTACCACTGGCGAGTGGTCTCGACCGAGTCGGGCGAACCAAATAGCATTTCCGAGCGCTCCGACATGTTGACGAGCCGGAAACGCCCAAGCGAGTCGCCAGAGTTCTCGGTGACAAGCAGCGAGGCGAGAGGGAGGAGCGACTTGAGCTGGTACTGCTTCTTGCCAAACGACTTGCGGGCAACAAGAATGAGCTGGTCGGTGAGGAGAAAGGCGTACCGCTCCTTGGCCTTGGAGCCTTCGACGACGACAACTTCGCCCTCGCGGACCATCGAGCGGAACCGTTGGACGAGGCCGTGCTTCTCGGCGCCGTCGATGGACTCGATGACGTCTTTCAGCTGCTGAAACGCCTCATCCTTGCGCTTGGCCTCGTTGATCGACGAGAGCACAGCCTCGATGGCCTGTGACGACGCATTGAGGTCGGCAAAGTCGGCCGAGTCCTCGTCGGTCTTGCGGATGATTTCGCGGAAGAGCAGCGGGTACTTGCAGATGCGCTGGACCGGCTTGATGAGGAATGAGTCGATTGAGAGCCCGTTGGTCTTGGGCTGCGACGCGCAATAGATGAGAAACGTCTCCAGGCGCGAGCCGTCGTAGTTGTACCGCTTGGTGACGAGGCCAGACCGCGGGTGGTTGATGCAATACTTGGTGTATGCAGGGCCGAGAGTCTCTGCGTGCTTGATGAACACGTCACCAATGACGTCGACAATCGGTGACTGCTCTTGCCGCGCCTCCAAGTCCTTCAACAGCGCCTCGTGGAGTGGAATGAGCTCCTCGACGTTGCAGAACATGGTCTGCAGCGCGTCGGCCGGCACAATCTCTTCGGCCTTGTCCACCCGCTGTCGCATCGGTACCAGGTAGTCGTTGACAATAGTCCGCAAGTCCTCCAGGTACATGCCTTCGGTGACAATAAACTCAAAGATGGCCTCCTGTCGCTGCATCTCGCGCTTGTCGAGGTGGCTCACATCGAGCGACTTTTCCTCCACAATGTCCTTGAACCGCTTGACCGCAGCCTTGGGCGCGGACACGATTTTGACCGTGTTCGACGTCTCGCTACCGTCCTGTTCCGACAGCTTGCGGAGCTTGGTCTTGAACGCCCTTTCCTTGACCTTGACCTCGAGCGGGCCACCAGATTGACCATCGGGAGCATCCTCGCCGGCGCCATCAGTTGCGACTGGTTCGCCGTCACCGACCGTTGCCGGGGCACTGGTGGTCGACGCGTCGAGCTCGTCGTAGTATCCAATGTACGACGCCGGAACGTAGCCTGTAGTGCCGTCGTCGAGGCCGATGACGACCCAGTCCGGGTCGTCGTCAAGCGGGTCGACAACCTCGAAGACCTGGTTGTAGGCAATGCTCAGCTCGCCCTCGCCGCGCGCCTCGTAGTCGTACAGCCCGTACGCCCACACCGGATCAGCAGACATAGCAGGAGCTCGAGGGGGGGTGCGGGGGGGGGGGGGGGGGGGGGGAGGGGCTTCTGCCTGGCTCGGTCGCGGACCTGCTTGACCCGTTGAAGGCGGTGGCGGTGCGGGGGTTGGGTCGGCACGTGGGTGGGTGCACGGGGTGTGGTAAAGGCGCGCCGAAGGAGGTCTTCTCTGGGGCGTGCGCGGGGCCGAGGTTCCTGTGTGGGTGGGGTGGAGAGGTGGAAGTGGACAGGGTGGCCGGAGTAAGGGAGGAGGGGAGGAGGGTGAAGAGGGGCCACTGGCCCTCGCCGCCGTGCGTTCCGCCCAGCTCCGAACGAACGGAACAACGACGGGCACGTGGCTTGGGCATGCAGGTGCGACTGTGGCGAAAAATATTGAGCTCTGTCCATCGACGAGTTCTTTTCAATTCGCTACGACTTGGTCTTGCCCTTGGACTTGCCCTTACCCATGGACTTTGACTTGCCCTTGGACTTGGCCTTGGACTTGCCCTTGCTCTTGCCCTTGTCCTTGCCCTTGGACTTGGCCCGACCCTTGGACTTGCCCTTACCCTTGGCTTGGGGCCTGGACTTGGACTGGGGGCGATCTGGAAGGACTGCCTTGGCTTTGCCGGCATCGGTTCTTGAGCGCCGACGGCGGCTTGACTTATGGTCCTTTGTGGCCGTGGTGGCATGGGTGCCGGCGTTGGCGTCGGCTGTGGCGGCAGCTGCAGTGGTATCCTTGTCCTTGTGTCGGCGTCTGTGCTTCTTTTCTGGCGCAAGTGCCTCGGCATCGGTGGCGGCGGTGGGATCGGCCGTCGGCGAGGGGGCTGCATCGGTGCCGCCGTTGCGCTCCTTGCGTTTGCGCTTGTGCTTGCGAACCTTCTTCTTCGATAGCGTGGGTGTTGGTACGGCGGAAGGATCGAGATCGGCTGCAGTCACGGGCTCAGCTTCGGCCCCAGCATCTGCCTTGGGCCCGGAATCGGCTGTAGCCAAAGACTCGGCCTCGGCCCCAGCATCTGCCTTGGGCCCGGAATCGGCTGTAGCCAAAGACTCGGCCTCGACCCCAGCATCTGCCTTGGGCCCGGAATCGGCTGTAGCCAAAGACTCAGCCTCGACCCCAGCATCTGCCTTGGGCCCGGAATCGGCTGTAGCCAAAGACTCAGCCTCGGCCCCAGCATCTGCCTTGGGCCCGGAATCGGCTGTAGCCAAAGGCTCAGTCTCGGCCTGGGGCTTGGCTTCGGTCGTGCGCCCCTTTCGCTTCCGCTTCCGCCTCCGCTTGTGCTGGTACGTCTCCCTCGACACGCCCCCCGAAGCCTCAACCTGGGCAGCAGGAGCGTCCTGGTGCCTCCGCCTGTGTTTGCTCTTACGAGTCAAAGCCGGGCGCTCCGCCGGTTCTGCCTTGGATCTCGCCACTGGCACACCGCGATACAGCGCGTAATGGTCACCACAGTCGGCGAGGGCCAGTGCGTGGCGGACGCGTGCGTGGCGAACTGTAGCCGAGGGAGGCGGTGGGAGCTCGGCGGAGCGCGAGCGCGCGACCACCGTAAGCGGGAGCGTGATGCGGAGCTTTGGCCCGAGCGCGGCAAAGAATAGATCTGCCACAACCATAACGTGCGCTGGAAACGTCGACGACTCGGCAACGCCGGCGTCGACAGCCTGGCGCTGGCTGCGGGTGAGCCCAATGAGCTTGCGCTCAAACAGGCCATGGGCATCCCATGCACCGGTGACAAGCAGGCGCCGACCTTTGGTGCTCGCCTTGTACTCGAGCGGCATCATTCGGCGCGGATCAAGCTCGTGGCCCTTGCCGGCAAAGAGCCCAACAACCTGGGCCTCTCCCAGCGGGTCGGGCACGCCGGCCTCGAGCTTGAGCGCCAGACGCACTCGCTTGTCCACCCGCCGGCGCAGGTACAGGACGCCGTCAACAGCATGCGCTGCCCGCCAACCATCGTCATCTCCTCCGCGCTCCTCGATCCACACCGCAGCGCCCACAACCAGTGCGTCGCCAGAGAGCGCGTCGCTGGCAGTGCAGACCCGGTACGTCGGCTGCGCGTACGTTATAGCCACGCTGTCAGGTGGCGTGTCTATGCCGTCAGCCGCATAAGGCGAGCGCGAGCCGGCAAGGGTGCGGGTGAGATCGACGTGATACGAAGAGAGCGCCGACCGGAGCTGGGCCCGCGCCCGCGCCGGCGACACCGCGTGCAGTGCCAGCCCGTGCGGCAGTGCCAGCGTCCTGCGGAGGACAATTGAGCGCATCTGCGACCACAGCAGCATCGCCATGCCCAGAATCGACCCATCCGGCGTCCAGTGCGGAGCAACATCAACACCCAGCACGTCCGCGAGTCGCTGCCCTGCCCTCAACCCCGCCCTAAGAGCCGCATCCAGCCCGGCTGAGTGACCGCATCCGCCGTCATCGTCCCCATCGCCAGCGCTGCCTCTGTCCATCGGCTCGCACCGGGTCGACGTCCGGATCGAGACCAGAGCAGAGCGAGTGAGTGCAGCCAGTGCCTCTGCAAGCGCGGCAAAGCCCTTCACCAAGCCCGCCGACGGTGGCGGGAGGGCCGGACAGGTGGCAGCGAGGTGGGAAGCCAGCTGCGGCAGCATGGCCCTGCAGTCAAAGGCTAGTGCGCCCAGGCTCACTGGACACCCGCTTCCCTTCGTGGCGCCTTCCATCCGCAGGTGGGGGGGGGAGAGAGGGGTGGCGCCAGCAGGAGCGAGAGCGCCAGGGGTACGGCACTCACGGGCCACGCCATGGCACACCCACGAAATACACCACGACCGCGACCACGCCCGCGTACACGCCACTCACCACGCACATGCTGCGCTTGTCACTCCCACTGCTGCCGCTACACATGCCTGTCCTCTCGCTCGGCCTGCTGGTCTCTGCTGGCTTCCGCGCCCAGAGCAAGTCGGGCGGAGCTGGCGAGGTGCTTCCAGCCGATGGCCATGCTGGGCTACCGCGCCCACTCCCGCGGCCGCTGCGCTCGCTAAGCGCGGTTCTCCGGGTAGGGGAGGACGAGATGGCGCGCATAGCTGCCGCGCACCCGCCGATGCAGTCGAGCTACACCGATGACGAGCCACTGCGCCCGGCGCTCAAGACGCTGACCAAGACGCTCCCGCCTCTGGCGAGCCTGCTCGCCGCCGACGGATGCGAGGCGGCGTGTGTGGCGGTTGGCAGAATGCTCCGCGCGTATCCACCTCTGCTTGATGCAGCGGCAGCACCAGAGGCGGCACATGCAGTGGAAAGCAACTACGCCGTCCTCGCGCGGCTGTACAACGAGGTGCTGAGGCGAGAGTCGGCGACACTCGACGCTGATCTGCTCGCCAAGCCGCGGGTACTCTTCCTGCCGCCGGACAGGCTGGCATCGACAGCAAGCGCGCTGAGTGCGGTTGTGGCCGATGCCGATGCTGGTGTTGTGCGCGAGACGCTCGCCCTCCCACGTTCACACTATCGGCCGGTCCACGAGAGTGGCGAGGTGCTGCGAGCGAGCTTTGCGCTCGAGTGGCTCGTCCGCAAGCGCGGCGGGCTCGGCTACTCTGACTTTGCCACCATCGGTCTGCCCAAGACTCCATCGGCGCTGCGCAAGCACCGTCGGCGGTCGTGGCGCAAGCTGCGGCTCGATGCGGCTACAGGGCGGGCCGCTGACCCGGCGCGGACCGCGCGTGCGCTCTCGGCCAAGGTTGTCGATTCTGCCGCCCACGCCAACCGCCGAATCCAGATGCGCAAGCGGAAGCGGAAGAGAAAGACGAAGCGTCTAGACTGCCAAGCATAGCAACGTTTAATCAAGGCTCGTCTAGCCGTCGGTCCGCGACGACTTTGAGCGGCGCTTCTTGCGCGACGAGCGCGACTCGGGCGAGTCGGCCGACGACTCGTTCCGCGACGACTTTTTCCTGCGGCGCGACTTGTCACCGGTCGGGCCGGTCGGCTTGCTCGACAACGACTTGGAGGCACGGGCACGGGCAGCCTCGGGATCGATGATGGGGTCGATGGGTTTGTCGGGTGAGTGGACGAGGTCGAGCTCGGCCTTGCCGTGGTAGATGGCATCCTCGGCGTCGCGGGCGGCACGGTCTGTGACGGCACGGAACTGGTCGACATATGCGGCGAGCAGGCGATCGTATCGGCCCTCGGCACGGGCAGCGGCAGCAGCGGCAGCGATGTCGTCTTCCGAGTCCCACGAGTCATAGTCCTCGTCGAACGAGCGCAGGTCCAGAGGCGGCAGCGCGTCGGGCTCGTCGTCGATGTGCTCGAGCGCCTTGAGGCGCGCCTTGCGAATATGCTTGGCCTTTTCCTGGTTGACCGAGATGAGCTTGGGGTTGGAGAGGTAGTAGAAAAAGTCCAACACGCCGCGGAGCTGCGAGTTGATGGTGGCGACGGTCTTGAACTCGTCGAGCGTGATGACGCCATCATGGTCCTCGTCGGCAGTGGCAAAGACGGCGTCGACCTGCGCAGCGGTGTGCTCGGGCGTGTCGGCCAGGACAGCCATAGACTCGGAGACCGGCATGCACAGCGCGTTGGCCAGCCGGACCGAGTGCCGCAGCATCTGCGCCACCTCGTCGCGCGAGAGTCGCCCATCGCCGTTCGAATCAAATACCTTGAATGTGGCCTCGATCTTGGCCTCGCGCGTCCCAGTCGCCACCAGCGCCGTGTACATAGCCAGCTCTTGAAAGTCGATCGAGTTGGAGCCGTCCACGTCAAAGATGCGGAAGAAGAGCTCGGCCGTGTCGGGTGCGGTGCCCAGGTGCAGGCAATGCTCCACAAACACCTCTTTGGTGATCACCTCTAGGTCGCTAGAGCCACCTGACAGCGCAGCCAGCTCCTGAAAGTAGAAGAACAGCTTATCCACCTCCTTCTGGTCCACTGTCGCCGTCCAGCCGCCCCATAACCCATGCCCCCCCACCAGTCTGTGAGTCACGCAGCCAGCCGAGTCCGTCGCTCGGCTCAACTCGCCAACCGCCCCTCCCTGCCCCCCCCCCTCCCCCCCCCCCTCCCCCCCGCCCCCGCCCCCGCCCGCAGCAGCAACATACGCTTAGTAGCCTTCATCACCTTCTTGGCCATGCTCTTGTCCAGTGGCCCCTCATCCTCAGAGCCAGAGCCGTGCTTCTTGCTGCTGCTCCGGTTGCCCATGGTGTGACCGGCTGAACCGAGAACAGAGAGTGCCGTGTACCGCCCCGACGCCCTGCCCACACCACGCACACATCAGACACACACACCCAGCTACCCGCTTGGCGACTTGAATTCTTTCAGAATCTCTTGGCAGACACTGCCAAACGGGACAACATACGCTGTCGATAGGGAAGGGGATGCGCGCGTTTCGCCTTCATCGCCTCTCATGTCTGCCATCGTCACGTCGTGTCGCCATCAACAGGCGCTTCCGCTGCTGGTACCATCATCGCCATCAACGCCTCCTCGATCAAGGCCCTTGCCTCGGGAAGTGAGAATATTTTTGACAAAACGGGACGATATGCTCTGAAGCGCAGAGTACGCGGATGTCGCCGAGCATGCCGCAGTCCACTGCCGCCATCTCGTGGGCCGTGGTCACCCCCACCTCACCCCCAACCTCCTCTCAAAGGCCTAGCATGGACCCAGCCGACAGCCGTGCGGTGGCGGCCTTCCAGAAGTTCCTGCAGACGCGGACAGACCATCCTGCGCCGGACTACGCGGCGGCGGTGGCGTTCCTCGTGGAGTACGCTCACGAGCTGGGCATGCCGGAGCCTCGGGTGGTCGATGGCCTGGTGGCAGACAAGCCGATGTTCCAAGTTGTAGTGGTTGGGACAGAGAATGAGGCGCCTGCGCTGCTGCTCAACTCGCACATGGACGTGGTGACGGCCGATGCTGATGCGTGGGATCATCCGCCGTTTGATGGTGTCATCGCCGACGGCCGCATCTACGCCCGCGGCACACAGGACATGAAGTGCGTGACCATCCAGCAGATGGAGGCACTCTCGCGTCTGCTAGCTCGTGGCTGGACGCCCGCACGGTCGGTTGTCCTCACGGTTGTGCCCGATGAGGAGATCGGTGGCGTTGACGGCATGGCCGCCCTCCTCTCGTTCACTGTGGAGGAGGCCGCGGCACGGGCGGCGGGCGAGGCGCCGGGCCCGGTCACCATTGCCGGCCTGCCCATCGGCTTTGCGCTCGACGAGGGCCTCGCCAATCCGACGCCTGGTCACTACACCGTGTTCAACGGCGAGCGCGCGCCATTTTTTGTCGACGTCACTGCCACAGGCGCAACCGGCCACGGCTCGCGGTTCATCGAGGACACCGCCATGGAGAAGCTCATCGGCTTTGCCAACAAGGCCCTTGCCTTTCGCGCCGAGCAGGCGGCCAAGCTCCATGCCTCGGGCTCGTGCGAGGGTAAGAAGCTCGGCGATGTCATCACTGTCAACCTCACCATTCTCCGCGCTGGCAAGCTGCACAATGTCATCCCGTCCGAGGCCCGCGCCGGCCTCGACATCCGCGTCCCACCCACTGTGGGCTACGACGAGCTCCGTGCCCTCCTTGACGATTGGACCGCCACCGATGGCCTCTCGTACACCTTTGCCTACGAGCCGCCGCTCAACTCTCTGACTGAGACCTCGTCCTCGCCGTGGTACGCCGCCTTTGAGCGCGCCGTCCACGCCGCCCATCCCGACGCGGTCTGTCAGCTCGAGGTCTTCCCCGCCGCCACCGACTCGCGCTACCTCCGTGCGCTCGGCGTCCCCGCCATCGGCTTCTCGCCACTCGCCGGCGAGCCAATCCTCCTCCACGATCACAACGAGTCAATCGCTGTCTCCACCTTTATCTCGGGCATTGCCGTCTACGAAGCGCTCCTCACCGAGCTCACCGCCGTCCCGCTCCCCGCCCCGATGTAGTAGTAGTCCTCCCCCTCCCCTCTCTCCCGCTTGCGGCCCACACTTATCCAACCAAACCACCGCCCACCATTCATCAGTCACCATTCGTCATTGCGTGGCATTCCAGCTGCCACCGGTTGACACCTCGCTACCACCGCATCCCATTCATTCGTTCGCTTCAGCCGCCTTTTCGCCATGAAACGGGTCGGCAAGTACGAGCTGGGTACGACGAACGTGCCTGTGGGAGTGTGCCGCGGGGAGGCAGAGCGGGGAAAGTCACAGCAGTGTGGGCCACCAGTGCCCACCACGTATGCCCTCCCCCTCCCCTTGCCCCCCCCCCCTCCCCCCTCCCCCCCCTCCTCCCCTTTCCATACATCCCCCCTCCTCCTTCAGTGGACTCACTCTGCGTATGTATGCGGTGGCAAAACGGGTGGCCGAAACGGACGTGCGGGTCGGCTCGGTGGTGGCGCGGGTCGCAGGGCGGACGCTGGGTGAGGGCACGTTCGGCAAGTACGTACAGAGGAAGTGCATGGGGGGGGGCAGGGAGAGAGACCCGGTGGGTAAGGAGCACGGGTGAACTCACACGGAGGGCGTGTTGGGGGGCAGGGTCAAGTTTGCTAAGGACACCGAGTCCGGCGAGCACGTGGCTATTAAGATTCTCGAAAAGTCCTCGATTCTCAAGCAGGGCATGGCAGAGCAGATCAACAAGGAGATCTCCATCATGAAGATGATCCAGCACGACTATATCGTCAATCTCATCGACGTGCTGGCGTCGGCTACCAAGATTTACATGGTGCTGGAGCTGGTGACTGGCGGAGAGCTCTTCTACAAGCTCGCCAACGAGGGCCGTTTTCCCGAAGACACGGCGCGCCACTACTTTCAGCAGCTCATCAACGGCCTCGCGTACTGCCACTCTATGGGCATCTACCACCGCGACCTCAAGCCGGAAAACATCTTGCTTAACGACCAGGAGGATCAGCTGAAAATCTCGGATTTTGGTCTCTCTGCACTGCAGGAGAAGGACGGCAACTTGCTGCGGACGACGTGCGGGACGCCCAACTACGTCGCGCCCGAAGTCTTGTCTAACTCGGGCTACCACGGCTCGACCGCCGACGTCTGGTCGTGCGGTGTCATCCTCTACGTCTTCCTCGCGGGCTTTCTCCCGTTTGAGGACCCGTCGACCGAAGCGCTGTTCAAGAAGATCACCCGCGCCTCGTTCCGCTTCCCGCCGTGGTTCTCAGACGGCGCAAAGTCGCTCATCGAGCGCATCCTCGTTCCCGATCCGGCCGAACGCATCACTCTCGAGGAAATCCTTGCCGACCCGTGGTTCCTCGTCGACCTGCCCGACTCGGAGCCGGTTCCGTCGGTCGGCCACGTCGACACCGTCGACCAGTCGGACGACTCACTCTCCGTCGTCGACATTGGCGGCGAGGACGTCGAGGTTGTCGAAGACGACGACGAGCCCGGCCCGGCCAAGGACGTCTCCAAGATCACCAACGCATTTGACCTCATCGGCCGCTCGGGTGTCTTTGACCTCACACGCATGCTCGAGCGCCACCCGCCGGACCAGATCAAGCGGTACACGCGCTTCTCGTCGTCGACAGACCCGGATGTCATTCTCGAGCTCCTGCAGTCGATCCTTGACACCATGCCGGTCTCGTACCACGTCCAGCCCAAGTCGTACTCGATCGACGTCAATGCAGCCTCGTCCAAGGGCATCATCAACTTTACCATCCAGATCTACGAACTCTCGGGCTCGCTCTACCTCGTTGACTTTCAGAAGAACAAGGGCGACACGCTCGAGTTTACCCGCTACTATCGCACCCTCTACGAGAAGGCCTCCGACGCATCACTGCCGGTCGAGGGCAGCGACGGCGAGTTTGGCGGGCCGTCGGGCGCCCCGCCGCCGTCAGCCATCCCGCGCAAGTCCAAGGCCAAGGACAAGGCCAAGGCCAAGGCCAAGTCCAAGGCCTAGCTCCTCACACGATGGAACGTTGCGTGGTTTGATGAGTTTGATGAGTGGAGCATAGCCGAGTCAGCTGGGCAGGCAAGGAATTCGCGGCTTGCGCCGCGGGCAGCCTGCCCGCTGCTCGCCTTGCCGTCGAGGATTGGTGAGGGAGGGATGAAAGTTGGAAAAGAATGGAGAGAAAAGAGGAAGAGAGTGAGAAGGTCGAGGTGTGCGGGTCAACGATGCGCGGTTCGGCAGTTGCGTCTCGATACCCAGAGCCAGCAAGCGACGGGAGGGGCACGGCCTACTCGGGCAGCGAGGTGATGAGCCGCAGCGCGTCGGACGGGTTCATGACCGACGTCTCGCGGCCTTGAACAACGACGACGCGCGGAGCAGCCGGCCGCGATGCCGGTGACGCCGACGCAATCGGGATCCGCGGCGAGGTCTGCATGTTTTGCGGGCCCTTGAACAGCTTGGGCGAGCCGATGACGTCGACAAGCATGGGGCCCTTGGGCGGGACAAACGGCTCAAACGGCGGCGTCCGGAGGAGCTCCACCACAGGCCGCCGAGCGTGCACCGGCGGCTTGGGCGGGTGGAACCGGAGCGTGTTGAGCACCGAGCATCCGTCAATGAACCGCGGCGAGAGCGCCACTTCGCGAGTCGACGAGATGCCCGGCCCGGTCGGGGCCGCAAAGCGGACCGTCGGAGGAGCCTCGCGCTGCGGCGGCGACTCGCCGGGGAACGGCGACGTCTGACGCTTGCTCGTCGCTGCCGAGAGCAGCTCCGACGGCGGCATGAGCGTCCGCCGAACAGGCATCTTCTCACCTGCTGCCTGCTTCTTGCTCTTTGACGGCTTGCCGGCCTTCTTCTTGGCTCCGGACCGGCTCCGCGAGCCGACGCCAGTTGCGGCTAGTGCCTGCCGCTCGGCAAGCGCCGCGGCTTCCTCGGCCCGCCCGGCGAGGACCGAGGCCACCAGCGTCGCTTGCTCGGCCACAAACGTCGCCAGCGAGGTCGCCGCCGAGCTCGAGGCGTCGGCCTGCGCCGCTGCCGCCTCGAGCTCGGCGCGGCGGACCGTCGACTGTGCCATGGCCACTGCCATCGGCGTCGGCAGCGACTCGGGTTCAAACTCGCGCAGCGCGTCTGCGATCTCCTCGGCCGTCAGCGTCTGCCCAGACTCGGTCTTCTTCAGGTGGCAGTTCTTGTAGTGTGTCTTGAGGTTCGCCTTTTGCGAGCACCGGTGCGCGCACTTCGGATACGTGCAGAGGAACGGCTTTTCGCCAGAGTGCTTGCGGCAGTGGATGATCATGAGCGAGGCAAACCGGCACGAGTACGGGCATCCGTCGACCGGGCACTTGAGGTTGTTGCCTCCGCCGCCCGAAGACGACGTCGTCTTGCTTCCGCTCGGCTTGAGCGGCCGCGGCCGCTTCGTCTCGCGCTCCTCGGGCGCTGCCGGCGACAACGACTTGCGCTTGCGGCTCGGCGAGAGCCCGCTCCGGGTCTCCTCCGGCACCGCGGCTGGCGGTGATCCAAACTTGAGCTTCTTGCGCGGCATACCAAATGACCGCGCTCTCGGTGTGGTGATGAGGCTGGCTGCTGTAGATCAAGGTGTTGCGTGAGTGCCGTGGCGGAAAAAGAAGACTACTGGCTGTGGGGGGAATAAAAAAAAGCACCATCACCCGCTGCGGCAAAGAAACCGGAGCGTAGAATCTGCCACAATGGCGCCAAAAGGCTGCCTTCACGAGCGAAGCTGAAGAAAGCCGCCTACCGCAACCATGACGCCGCGCCTGCAACACCATCGCCAGGAAAATGCCATCCGGGGACGGCCAAGCCCTCCGTGTCTCCCCACGTAACATATGCTCTGACCACTCTCCCCCCACACTGCCCTTCCCTGTCCACAACCCACATGCCTCCGGCAGCCAGCCGAGGCGCGCGCCAATGGCCAATAACCGCCCGCCGGCGTCATCCAGGTCTGAGCCAAGCGAGGTGGCGCCCCCTATGTCGACGGAAGGCCTCTGCTCACCACCGCGACCAATCTGCAGGAGATGGGAAGCATGGAATGCATACGGGACATGTCTAGCTCAGCTCAGTGGCCATCCTTTTCGGTGTGTGTGGCGTAGGCAGCGCTGAGAGCCGGCAGAGGACGAGGCCGTTGAAAGAACGGCTTGGAAGGGAACATTCGTTCGCCGTGCCGCGCACATGCGTACCGCCGCCAATATGGACAACTGCGGTACGCAGTGCTGCTACAGGTGGTCTACATAGGGTTGTGATGGGTGGCTGCCTCCCCTAGCCCGAGATCCCGGTCAGGCCATGCCCTTTAGTCTCGCTATCGTGCGCCACGTACTGTTCGAGAACAAACGAAGAATGTACGGTTTGAACAAAGTCAGGTGGCTAAAGGCCACACACACCCGCACTTTCCCCGGCCATCGCCAACCAGTTCCGACTTGCCTTTGTTGTTCAACGACGCTTCTGACGCTTGTTCGGCGGGCCGCCACTGTTGCGGTCGCCTGGCCGCGACGGACGGTTTTTGCCGCGGTCGCCTCCGCGGTCGCCTCCGCGGTCACCTCCACGGTCGCCCCCGCGGTCACCTCCGCGGTCGCCTCCGCGGTACCCGCCACGGTCGCCTCCACGGTCGCCTCCGCGGTCACGGTCGTCGCGGCCGCGCTTGCGGTTGGCCGCGGCGTCTTCGGCCCTCGGTGCCGGTGAGCCGCTGTTGGCACGGCTCGGGGGGCCAGAGCCGCCGCCGATGCGATCGGCTAGGCGGCCACCGAGGCGGCGGTTGCGATCACTGGCACCACGGTCGCTCCCGCGGTCGCTTCCACGGTCGCTTGCGCGATCGCTCCCGCGATCGGATGGCCGTCCGCCAGGCCGTCCACCACGGTCGCGGTCGCGGTCGCGGTCGCGGTCGCGGACAGCACGGTCGCGGTCGCGAGCTCCGCGGTCGCCGCCCCGGTCGCCGCCACGATCGCTTCCGCGATCAGCCGGCCCGTTGCCACCCTTGCGATTGGCCTCGAGCGCGCGCTGCTTCTCACGCATCGCCTCCATGGCGGCCTGGCGCTTTGCCTCGAGCTCGAGCTCGTGCTTGGACGGCGCGGCCTTGGCAGGTGCTGCCTTGGACTTGGACTTGGAGCCAGGCTTGCTCGACTTGGGCGCCGACTTGGATGACTTGGGCGCCGGTTTGGACGCTGGCTTGGAATTGGACGTCTTCGACTTGGACGTCTTTGACTTGGACGTCTTGACCTTGGCCGGCGGGTCGGCCTTGGCCGGCGGGTCGACCTTGGCCGGCGGGTCGGCCTTGGCTGGCGGGTCGGCCTTGGCCGGCGGGTCGGCCTTGGCCGGCGGGTCGGCCTTGGCGGCAGCCGCACGAGTCCGGGAATTGGCCTGGCGCTTGGCCCTGTGGGCTCCAGCCGGCTCGCTGCGGCTGTGGCGCGAGGGCTGCCGGTCGGGCTCGTGGTCGGAGTTGCGACCGCGCTTGCGGGACGTGCCCGAGGCCGAGGCGACGACATCGACAGGCGCCGGGTTGGCAGCGCCAGCATAGCTGGCCGCATCAAAGAGGACGCCGCTGGTGGCCTTTTTCTTGAGCGCGTTCTCGTAGCGGAGCGAGAGGAGCTCGAGGTCGGAGCGCGGGGCGCCAGGGTTGGCCTTGGACTGGGCCTTGCACTTGGCGAGGACCGCCGACGCCGCCTTGAGCAGTGCGGCGTTCGACGAGACGACGACCGGAAAGTGGTCCTCAATTTTGGTGAGGACGACGAGAGCGTTGCGGACAGCCATGTGCTCTGGCGAGGAGAGGAGGGCAGTAAACTGGTGGCCAAGCGCAAGGTGGCACTTGAGAGCAAAGGCACGCCAGTTGTGGGCGAGCGTGGCGTCGTTGAGCGACGCAACGGGCACAGGCGGAAGCTCGCCATCGAGCGGCGGGACGGCAAGGACGGCCGACGACGCGTCGACGCCGGGCGACTCCTTGTAGCGGGCGAGGAGTGCGAGCGACGACGCGAGCAGCCGCGCCACACGCCCGGCCTCGTTGGTCGACGCAGCAAAGACCCACTGCTTGACGTTGGCAAAGAGGGCGTGGAGGTAGCGGGCGAGGACAAAGCCCGGCGGCGCGAGCTGGATCAGCGCCTCCACAAAGGTGGCGCAGAACTGGGCGTCGAGGTGGGAGAATGGAGCGCGCGGGTAGACACAGCGGTGAACAAAGAGCGAGGCGGCGCCGGCAGCCGACTCGGCACTGGCAAACCAGGTCGAGGCCTCGGTGGCGAGAACCTTGCGGACGTACGCCACGTGGTCCTTCTGCACCCGCATCTCGGCCTTGAGGTCGAGCAGCATCTTGGAGTACCTCAGGAGGTTGCGCCGCTTCGACCGCGGCAGCCGGTTGTTCCTGGCCGCCTGCTCGGCGGTGAGCGCCGAGATCGAGGCCTCGATCTTGGCCTTTTCGGCTGCGTACTCGACCGCCGGCACGCACAGGTCGTACAGCTCGAGCGACCAAAAGGCAGCAAAGAGCGCCGGCGAGAGTTGCGCGGCCTCGCTAGGAGGCAGCAGAGTAGTGGCGGCGTCGACACGCTGCGCAAGTGTCTTGCTCGCAGCCTCGTCGGTCACAACCTCGAGCGAGGACCAGAACGGCGCGACGGTGGCCTTGGTCTTCTTGTCGGCCTTTGGGTCGTCGCGCTTGGCGAGCGCGGCGGCGCGGGCGTCGACAACCGACGCCGGGGTGGCAAACGGCGTCGAGCCGAGGCGAGCGAGGAAAAACGCGGTCGCCACATCCAGCGCGTACTTGGCGACGCCGACGTCCGGCGGCGGCAGCTGCTTGGCGAGAGTGCCGGCCGGGACGTTGACGCGCAGAAACTCAACGTACTGCACAAAGGTTTCGTGACAAGCGTCAAAGAGGGCGCCGATCGGCTTGAGCGCCGAGAGGCCCGACTCGAAGATGATGGCAGACTTTTGCTGCGCAATGAGAATGAGAAAGGGGACAAGTAGGTCCGCCGTGCTCAGCGCACGTTCCAGCCGGTGCGTCGCCCGCTCGGTCAGCTGCGCCGCAGCTACCTGCGCCGCAGCCTGGGCACCCGGATCGCCGGCCGCAGACGAAAAGGTCGAACCGAGGGCACGGAGCGTCGCCCCACCGGCGAGCGCGCCCAGCTGCGACGCCGTCATCTCCTCCACAACCTCGATGCCGGTCATGTTCGAGACTAGCTCTTTGAGCACAAGCAGGTCAAACGGCGAGCCGGCTTTGAGCTGGTTGGCAATGTACTGCAGGAGCGCAGGGAGACAGAGCCGCGAGTACTTGCGCGCCAACAGGCCAGAGAGCTTGGCCATGGCCTGCAGCCAGTCCGAGACCGTCGAGCCGTCGTCCTTGAGCCGCGATGCGCTCGGGTCGGCAAGCGCACCCACAATGGCGTACGAGGCAACATCAAACGAGAGCGGCGTAAGGTACTTGAGCGCTTCAACAACAGGCTCGATCATGTTGTCGTACGTCTTGAGTTGGCCAAACAACGTCTCGACCACAACAAGCGGATTGCCGTGCGAGAGCTTGCCCAGCACCCGCCCGTACTGCTTGGTGTTCTCGGCGGAGAGCCGGCGCAGCACGCCGCGAGTCTCAAACTCGACCTTGGCCCGCACAAACGTGAGCAGCGGGTGCGCATCGTAGGCATGTGCCGACCACCGCGCGTAGATCTCAAAGCGACGGGTGTAGCCGAGGTGGCCCAGCATGCCAAAGACGTCGGCGGCAAGGCCCGGATTGGCAGGAAGGAGAGAAAAGGCAGGGAGGAGGACGCCGCTAATGAGGTCCAGGATCTGGGCGGTAGCATCGTCGCCAATCCCGCCCTTGCTCAGCGCCGCGCCGCAGAGCCGCACCATCTTGGCAAAGAGCTTGACGTCGGTGTAAAGGTAGAGGGAGAGCCACTCGAGGGCCTGGACCACGTTAGACTCACTCAGCAGCTCGTCAAGAGTGGTGATCGAGGCACTCGCCAGCCGCTCGGCGAGCGACGGGCCGACGCCCGAGTTGTAGATAATGGCCGCGTACGGCGAGGCTGCCGCCGCCACCGAGTGGTAGTACGGGTTGATCTGGGGAGTAATGATATTGACCAGCGCAGCAGCAACGCGCGGGTCGGCAACAGGGTTGAGCGCCGCAATCGAGTGCATGTAGCCATTGGCTAGCGACCAAGGCGCGTTGCGGAGGAGAGCAAGGCAGAGCCCGATCCGCTGGTTCGTCTCCCGTGGCTGAAGCGAGAGGACCGAGGCGGTGAGTTCGGCCCGCGCAGCAGCAGCCTCTGCAGCGGTGGCCGAGAGCGAGACGACCGACATCTTGGAGGCTGCGGTCCGGATGCGGTCCGAGGCCTCTTCAGCAGCACGTGAGCCGTCGGAGAGCGACGGCGAGAGATGCGGGTCAAGGGCGCCAAGCGTGATGGTGCCTGCGCGCAGGAGCGTGGCGGCGAGGTCGTAGAGCGAGTCGGGCGCGACGTCGCCGAGCTCGGTCTTGCCGGCGGCGTAGGTCTGGAACTTGAAACCGAGCACCTGGGCAATGGCACTAGCCTGCGAAGTATCAAGCAGAGCGAGGGCGTCGGCAGCCTCGTCGGCGGCGCCGATCTCGGCAGCCTCCAAGACGAGGTCCAGCACCCGATTGGGGTCGAGCGAAAAGTAGCCGACGAGCGAGTTGAGGTGCTTGCGCTTGCCGGCCACGCCGTCCGGGTGCGGCGAGTTGAGCAACGTCACCACCTTGGCGTAGCCCTCAGACTCTTCCCGGAGCAGGTTGTACTTGCACTGCGTGTAGTACCGGCGCGTCTTGGCCATCACCTCGCGCCTGGCAAAGACACGCGCCGACGGAATGAGCTTGGCCGCCGCCAGCACGTCCTCCGGCAAGCGGATCTTGAGATCAGACAACTCGGGCGCGCCGTCGTCGGCCGCTGCTAGCGCCGCCACAGTCGCACCCAGCGCAGCCAGGCTCTTGGCCTTGGCCTCGGCCTCGGCGGAGACCGCCAGCGCCAGCGAGACCATCCACAGAGCGTCGAGCAGGAGCTCGACCGCGCCCGCGGCGAGCACTGCTGCAGCCACCATAGCTCCGTCGACCTCGCCAGCAGCCACAGCCCATGTCAGGTCGACGACCGCCGGAAGGACGTCGTCGCCGCCGCCGCCTTTGGCCAAGTGCTGGCTCCTGCTTGCCACCAACTCGCTCGGTCAGTTTTCGGTCGGCGTGACCAGGGAGGGGAGGGGGAGAGGGTCAGGGGGAGGGAGGGGACGGGGAGGGGGAATGGGACATACACTGCGGCCGCACAGTCGTCACACGCCCGCCACGCCTCCAGTGTTGAGGCGTCTAGCGTGGTGTACGTGGGCGTCATGGTGGTGGGGTGTGGCGTGTTGGGCTCGGACAACAGGGGGAGGGGGAGGGGGGGGGGGGGGGGGGGGGGGGCATTGGTGTGACACGAGTCGCACTGCGTGTTTGCGGTGCGGTTGTCGGAACGACTACCGGTAGGGTTGTTAGGAGAACGACGGCTGCGATGTGGCAACGTTGAGGAGGGCGGCGGTGGCGGCCGAGGGGACGGGGAGCGGGCCATCGAATGACTCGCGGGCGATGTGCCAGTTGCCGTCGTCATCCTCGCGCCAGTGGACGCGGCGGACGCCGGTGCCGTTCTCGGTCGAGTAAGGACCAGACTGCTGGGCCTCGCGGCCGACATGCTCAAACTGGGCATCACCAAAGGCAAAGTCTGCAACCTCTGAATCGACGACGCCGGTCCAGAAGGCGCGGATACGGGCGCGGCCGACGACGATGGGCATGGGCAGGGCGTCAGCGGGCGGCGGGGCGAGGAGGGCCTCGTCGTTGTAGAGGGCAGCGATTTCTGCGGTGTTTCCGGCCTTGAGCAGAGTAATGAACATGGTGTTGGCCTCCTTGAGGGCAAGGACGGCAGCGTCGGGCGCCTGCGGCTCTGTGGGCTTGGTGCCTGTGGCGGTGGCGGCGGCGTCTGCGCGGTTGGCGACGGGGGTAATAACGCCACAGGCGATGAGCTGCGAGACGTCGATGTGGAGGATGAGCTTGCACATGAGCGGCAGCTGCTGGGTCGGATCAGCAATGGCCGAGTCCGAGTGCAGCTGGATGGGAACGCGGCAGTTTGTGGCGCCGACCTTCATGCGCTCTAGGTCTGCGATGCGGAGGAGGCCGTCGCCGAGGACAATATCCTTCCGGAGGGTGTTGTGGTCGACGAGCTGAAAGTAGAGGATGTCGTTGCGGCCGACGGTGGCGGAGAAGGCACGGTCATCGCCCTCGCCCCACACGGGCTGGCGCGAGTTGTTAATCCGCTTGGTCTGGTGGACCTCCTTGGCGTTGACCTTGACCACCACGTACGTGTCGGGCGACTTGACAGCCACATGCTCGTACGGCGTGGCCGCTTGGATTTCGATAAAGACCTTGGCGGAGACCGCTCGTGTTGCGGCCATGGTGACGAGTGACGAGGGGTTGAGGGGGGAGGGTTGAGGGGGAGGGGAGGAAGGGAAGGGGGAGGGGTGGTCGTGGACCAGGCAGCCAGGCAGCCAGGCGGCCAGGCGGCCGGGCGGTGAAGCGGAGAGGCGGCCGGGCGGCCAGAGTGGACCACGGGGGGGAGATGAAGTATGGATGCGGAGATTACGGGTGGTGGATGGTGGGGGGTGAGGGTGAGGGTGAGGGAGGATGCGGTCGGTGACGGGATATGGCGGTCGATCTGAGGGGTGGCGGGTGGTTAGAGACGGGGGAGGGGGAGAAGGGGAGGGGGCATGGCTGTCGGGTGGCGTCCAACGTGGTTCAGTGGCGGTTGGGGGCATCGGCAAGGGCAGGGAGGGGGAACACTCGACTGAGGCAGCACCGGCTGTAGGTGGGCGGCTGTAGGTGGGTGGCTGCGACAGTGGGAGGGGTTGGTATGGCTGACTACTTCTTTGACGACTACGTGGCGCCCGAGGCGGGCAAGGGGAAGAGCAAGAGCAAGAGCAAGCGCAAAGGGAAGGGGAGGGGCAAGGACCCGGGCAAGGTCACCGCAGGCGCAAGAGCAGACGCCGACAGTAGTTGGGCCGCCGCAGCAACAGCTGGTAAGGGTAAGGGTAAGGCCAAGGGTAAGGCCAAGGCCAAGGCGAGCACATCTTCAGAGTCCCGCATCCAGGCGCAGCCGCCATCGCGCAGAGCCAGCTCGCGCGCGGGGGGCTCACGCGGCAGCTCGCGGGCAGAGTCGCGGCGATCTGCAAAACACGGCTCAAACAAGTCCGGCGGGCGCGACTCGCCGCCGCGCGACGGACGTGACTGGCGGCGGGAGAGCCGAGACAGCGCTGAGAGCGAGGAGGCGCCGGCGGCGCGACGGCAGCGCGGTCCGGTCACCTCGGTCTCGCGCGAGTCTGTCGCCGATGAGCCGCTGCGGTTTGTACTTTCGCGGGCGCCGCCGCCGCCGCGGCCGGCTTCGACCCATACGTTTGCGCCGCCGGTCGGTGAGCCCGAGCCCGCATCTGTGGATCCCAAGGCGACTGACGCCGAGATCCGCGGTGGGCTGAGTCTTGCGCTCGAAATCCGCCGCGCGGCAACCGCCGCGCTTGATGCTGCGCTTCTGGACGACGCTGCTAACGTCGAAAAGTCTGAGCTCGACATCTTTGTTCAGCGCTCGTTTGTCGAGTTTCGGACCGAGACAACCGAGGGCAAGAGCCTCATGGCTCAGCTGAAGAACAAGCGCAAGCTGTTCAAAGTCCAGGTCGCACGCCGCGCGTTGGCGTGGCGCATGCCGCCGCGCGACCTCGCCGCCGAGGTGGAGGCTGTCAACCTTGGCAAGCTCCGCCTCGGTGCCGACGACGCTGACACCGCTGCCATGCGCGAGCTGGCCTTTCTCCAGCGCGCTGTCGCTCTACACGAGGACAAGATCCTGTCGCGCTTCTGCCGCTGGCTTGTCGGGGCCAAGGAGCGCCGCGTCTCGGTCGCACGCGTCGTCTCCATCGTCGGTCCGCTCGTCCGCTCGGTTCCGCCCGAGCTAGTCTCGGTCTCTCTCGCATCACCTCTCTTTGCCCGCTCGCGGACCGGCCTCAAGGGCGCGGACGAGGCCTTCGCTGCAAAAAAAGCTCGCGAAGAAGAGGAGGCCAAGGCGTGTACGTTCAAGCCGGCCATCTCGGACAAATCGCGCGAGATAGCTCGCATCCGTGCCGCCGCGCCGACTGGCGACGCTCCGGCCCGCGTCGCACCCGCTGCCTCCATCTTTGATCGTCTCTACCCGGGCTCGGCCGTCGCGACAGGCAGCTCGTCGCGCGAGCTGCTCGCCATGACGCCAAAGGCACTGCGTGGTATGTCCAAGCTCCAGCTCGCCGACATGCTCTCGTTCTTGCGGCGTGCGCTCGACAAGCGCCGCCACAGGCGCGAGCATCTCGAGCACCTCGTTCTCGTCAAGTCGGAGGCCCGCAAGCATGGCGCTGAGCTGGCCAAACTCCGCGACGAGTGCGACCATGTCACAAAGCTTGTCGCCGTCGCCGAGGACCTCTACTCGTCGCGCTCGCCTATGAGCAAATCTGCACCTGGCGCCGACCCCGCCTCTCGTGTCCGCCCGCACCACCCGGCGCCCGAAATCACCATCCAGCCGCAGCTCGCGCCCGAAGACGACTACACCGACTGCTCGTCTTCGGACTCGGCCGGGCCCGAGCCCGAGCCGTGGAAGCCTGAGCCATGGCGGCCCGACTCGCGCTATGAGGGCATTCTCGATCCAGCCCGCGTCCATCCGCGCCACGCTCGTCGAGACGATGATGCGTATGAGAGGGACAGCGGTGCCTATTATGAGGGCGACGGCGCGTATTATGAGGACGACGAAGGCGCGTATTATGAGGACGACGAAGGCGCGTACGGCGAGGACGACGAAGGCGCGTACGGCGAGGACGACGAAGGCGCGTACGGCGAGGACGATGAAGGCGTGTATTATGAGGACAAAGGCGCGTACGGCGAGGACGACGGCGACTCTGGCAACCACTACAAAGATGCGGGGTATGGCGACGACGGCGAGCGCTATGACGACGAGCGCTACGAGTACGACGACCCCTACTACAACAGCGACCAGGGCTACGACAGCAACCACGACGTTGACGCCGAGGCTGGTGTCTACTATGACGACGGCGATGACGATGGCAGCTACTACGGCGACGACGAGCGCCCAGGCCCGGGAAGGCTGTCGGTGCACGTGCGGCCCGACCTCCCGTCGCCCGCCCAAGCCCTCGGCGAGTTTCGTCACATTCCGGCGCCGTCGCGACGATCGCCGTCGACGCAGCACTCGCCACAACCTCCTGGTTACGACCACACCTCGCCGCCGCTCAATCGCCATGCCGTCGTTCCGCCCATTCCGCATAGACGTGGCTACTGACGGCTGGAGAGCGCTCAGGATCGGGATGGGGATAAAGTTAAAGTCACCGCGCGTTCTTCGCTCCAGTACTTTCTGCACCTTACGGTGGCAAACTCTCATCCCATCGTCTCATGCAGCCAAACACTCTGACCTAAGCTCGTGCTTGGTCCGGCCGTCCGATGGCTGCGGAAAAGGCGTTCGAAACACAGTCAAATTTGCGATCGCTTTGATCATCGCTTTCTGTCCCCACCCCCCCTCCCCTCTGAGCCCATCTCCTTGCCACGAACCATTCTCATCCTCATCCACGCCGTAGAAGCAGATAACGCCATTGTTAGCGCGACCACCACCACACATCCACACATCAGGCGACGCACACCATCACTGATCTGTGCCCTCCTCGCCATCGCCGACCAGCGTCACCCATGCGAACCGGCCAAGTCGGCGAGCAAGAGCGACACCGGCGAGTTGACAGTCGGCTGGCCACTGCTCTTCTCGCGACGTGGTGTGCATGGAGGGAGGACAGCAGCCAGGACCAGCACGTCCTGCACCCGAGTCTACACCTGTGTCTGGGCTGGGCCCAAGTCCTGCCGGAGCCCTGCAGGCTCGTCCGCCGCCGCCGCCGCCGCCGCACCTCAGCCATGGCAGCCGCGACCATGGGCGCGACCGGCGCGACCGGGACCGGGGCGATAGGGACCGGGGCGACCGGGATCGTGGTCGGGACTATGGGCGGGACCGGGACTATGGGCGGGACCGGGACTATGGGCGGGACCGGGACTATGGGCGGGACCGGGACTATGGGCGGGACCGCGGAGGCTATCGTCGTGATCGGGGCGGCGACCGAGGCGGCGACCGTGGCGGCGACCGTGGCGGCGACCGGGGCGGCGACCGAGGCAGTGGTGGGTTTAGGGGTGGCAGCCACGGTGGCGGTGGGTTTGGCGGTGGTTATGGTGGCGGTGGCCTCGGTGGTGGCGGGTACGGAGCTGGTGACCGGAGCGGCGGGTACGGCGGCCAAGGATTCGGCGGACGTGGACGAGGGCCGGGGCAGGGCCGGGGAGGGGGCCGGGGACGTGGGCGCGGTCAGCGCCTCGATCGCTACACCGCCGAGCAGCGCGAGCACCAGCGGGCCCAGCTCCGCGGGCGCCCGGTCGCGATGTGGGCTCACTCGCCGTCGCCAACACCGCTTCCGAGCCCACCGCCCGAGTCTGACCACGATTCAAACTCCAACACGGGCGCCAACCCGAGTGCTAACTCGGGCTCGGGCTCGGGCTCGGGCTCGGGCTCGGGCTCGCAGTCGCGGTCGCGGTCGCGGTCGCGATCACACCGGTCGCGAAAGAGCAGACACCGCAAGTCGCATCGGTCGCGGCGGCAGCGCCGCAGCGCCCGATCCCACTCTGGCTCCGACTCGGGCTCGGGTTCTGGCACGGGCACGGGCCCAGGGCAAGGTGAGCGCCGGGTTGTCGGCCCGCAGCGACCAACGACACGCAAAACGCAGCTAACGGCACGCGACCTGGGCAAGGCGCTGTTGCCGGGCGAGGGCATGGCCATGGCGTCGTACGTCGAGCAGAACAAGCGCATTCCGCGGCGCGGAGAGCTGATGAGCTCCGAGGAGATCGCCAAGTTTGAGGCCGAGGGCTTTGTCATGTCCGGCTCGCGCCACCGCCGGATGAACGCCGTCCGTGTGCGCAAGGAGTCACAGATCTACTCGGCAGCAGAGAAGGCCGCCATGGCCCAGTTCAACTATGAGGCCCAGAAGGAGCGCGAGCGCCAGATCCAGGCCTCGCTCAAGCAGCTTGTGGCCAAGAAGACCCGTGCCCTCGACGAGTAACACCCTCTCGCCCCGTCCCGTGTCCACCTCCCCCCTCCCCCCCCTCCCCCCCTCCGCCCCACCACCCCTCTCACCACAGGCAAAGTGCAATGAGCACAGCCGAGACTGCGGGCGACCTCTCGCGCAAGCGCCGCCGCAGCAACGAGGCCGAGGCCGGGGCCGGGGCCGGGGCCGGGGCCGGGGCCGGGGCCGGGGCCAGTGGCGAGCCAGGCCCTCCGCGGCGGCGGCGGAAGCGGTCGCGGTGGGACGCCGAGGGGAGCACGACGACGACGACGGCGACGACGGCGACGACGGCGACAATGGGGAAGACGGCGAGCTCTGCGGCACTTGCTGCGAGTACGCCCAGTGGTGCTTCTACCGCTGCGGCGGGAACAGGAGCCGCCGCATCGGGCGGGCTGGCTGTCGAGGCGGTGACGCTCGACGTGGTGGTGGCGGTGACGGGCGTGTCGACGCGGACGGCGGCAGAGAGCCTGGTGGCGCTAGTGGAGACGCTCGCTGGACGGGTGGTCGGCTGGGCGGCAGCGATGGAGCCGATGCTTGGCGTGCACAAGGGCCACATCTTTGTCTGCTTTGCCGATCCGGCGTCGGTTGCTGTGGCGCTATCCAAGGTCCACGGCTTTGTCCTCGACGGCGCCACCCTCGCTGTCTCGACCCATATCTCGTCGCTCGGCCCGCGCTACCCGCGCGGCGCGCCCAACGCGCCGTCGATGGTAGCCAACAGGGTGTATGTCGGCGGCCTGGCTGAGCAGATCACCGCTGCGGACGTCCAGGACCTACTGGAGCCGTTCGGCCCACTGCGTTCAGTTCACCTTGTCGAAGCCAAGCGCCCGCCGGCCATCCCTGGTCGCCCACTTCCGCCGGCGCCGCCGCCAGGCGCCCACGCTGGCTTTGCCTTTGTCGAGTTTGCCATCGCTGGCTGCGTCCCCGCTACCATCGCCGGCCTCAACGGCATGGATCTCGTTGGCAAGCCGCTCACCCTCGCCCCAGCCGCCACCCTCACCCACGCCCCCACTCCATCTGTTCGTTACATCTCACCGGCCTTTGCCCCCTGGGTCGCGCCCACCGCTGCCGCGCCTGCGGCTGCCGCGCCGGCCCCAGCGC